TTTTCAAATTACCTTAAAAGGGCATAAAGTAAGTTGGCAAAGATGACGTTTATGGCTCGCCCCTTTGGGAGTTGGATGATTTAGCCTCGGATGGTGATCGTAAAACCTCAACTCCGCCCTGTCAATGCGGCGAAAGGCGCAGGCACTTCTAACACAAAACATCAAAGTAAAAGTGGATTATAGATGTGGAAAGTTGGTGTCAACACTGAATCGACGGTGAATCTTTCATCTCTGACAGATTTATCACGAACTCTACCAGGTACATTACTCAAAGGTGACAGGACTGCAAAAGACGGTGGAAATTTTGACAGTAGGCGAGTTGGTTTGGCTTTGCCGCTTGCACCCGAAATTGCGGATTCAAGGGAGAACAGGCGCTATGGTCGAGGGCTGGTCGACCTTGGTACATCCTCGTCAGTGGGAAGTGGGTAACGATGGGGTGGCCCATCCCATCCGCCACCCACCTCGTTTTTCGTGGGTTGTCTCCCATCTACCACGACGGCTACACCGTGATGGACGACGTGGGAGGTTGACCCTGGAGACGCCCCTCAAAGGCAGAGAGGAACTGCGTGGTGATTTGACACATCGTTTAATCGCCGTTTGTACTTCGAATGGCAGGCGCGGCCTCCATCGACCCATTCTAATGACCTCGCACCACGCTACTCGCAGGCTGATAAGTAGTATATCCCCACCCCATACATTTTGCCCTTTTACAGCATTAGGGAGGTCTTGGGACGCCATGGTTTATAATTTTAGCATCACTTTGCCTCTTTACTAGCCTTTAGCAGGCAAATAAATTGTGCAAAGATTCGTTTGCAAGTTGATTACTCAACCCCTCCAATGGGGCGAGGAATGCGTTCATTTGGTACCGCCTCATGGCGTTTCATTTGCCTCATGTTTGACCATCTGTAGCTATTTCGGAGCTGGAAGGCGATTATTTAAATGGTTCTTCTCCACCGTGATACTATTTGAGTGGGTTTCTCCTGGCAGCAGAATCGGGCAGCTCTTTGGTTACACATAAATTACAAAGGGGGACTCTTGCTTCCCTGCAATTTAAGCGACCATTGTGTCCACATAATCGGGTACTGATTGTATGTCTAGCTATACGCAGAATTAACAGAGGCGTATCGATAGGGAGGAGGGTTTATCGCCAGTCTGAAAATTTGTTGGCATGAATGCTATATCATACCACCCTGGCGTGGTCGAAGTGCCCGGATGGAAAAGTTTACCTCTTAAAAACACAGTATTCCTCTCGATGGCCGTGGAAGCCAACCTCTAGTCGGTTGTGGCACGGGAGCGGACGCAGCACCGTGAGTCGGTTTCGTTGGAAGTATCTACCCTCCTTCAATACTTGAGGTAATGTGCTCCAGACTTGGCCAGGATTGCAGAATATCAAGTATCCTCCTCAAAGCTAACCACCTTGGGGCGAAATGCATCGGTGGCACACAGCTAAAGGCTGCACAATGGAACAAAACGAGTTCATTCTCTATATTAATCGCTGGTAAATGGAAAATTTGGGAAGCGTCGCAGCCCCTCCTCTCCGCTTCAGCCACACCTGGTCGCATCCCTTCTTGCTCCGTATAACCTTTCTCCTTAGTCAACGAAGGATGAGTTTTTCCCTCCCGATCAGGTTCGCATACCACAGTCCGGACAGGGAAAGGCAGGATTAACTAGTAGCGCATGGAGAGGAGGGACTAAAGTGTCAATAAGCGTGGAGGGATGGCAACTGAGGGGACCATGGAAATACCAAGGCGTTCCCGCGGTTTGGGATTCTGACTTGCGCTTCCGTTAAAAGGTGACTGTTTACCGCTTACTACTGGCTTGTGCTTCAGGCAAACAAATAAGGGGAGACGAAACCCTACAATCCAAGCAAATCAGTTATGCTGAATGGTGGGCATTCTCTTTGTTACTACAACAAAAGGTCGTCCAGTTGAATAGTATGATACACGCGGAGATAGCTTGTGCTGACTTGGCGCGATAGTGTCTTGTCCATGCCGATGGCCGCCTCTCGACACCAGCCCGTTTATTCCTTGGCATTGAACATCCTGGTATGCTGGTACCCCTCGAGGGCAATAATGATGGACATGTGGCCTTGCAAGTTATCGGGCAGCCTGATCCCTTTGTCTACGCTACACTGATTGCGCGTTCGGTTTGCAGAATAGCCTCTGAAATGTGCTGGTAGTCTCCTTGTTTGATTTTTCGTAACCAGGGCGGACGATTGCACAATGCCGCCGCAGTTGCTTACCATGCTTCAGTTAGGCAATAAAAAAGATTAAAGAGATACCTTCTGATGCCACAATTGGGGACGTGGATGAGGTGACATCTAGGCGACATCTGCCACCACAACTTTGATGGGTTATGCCGTGGCTAAAATCACATTTAGAGGAATTTTTTGCGCTATAGCAAAAATAAGCAATTGATGAGGCGCGAAAGGGGTCAGTTTGGCAAAAATTTTTGCGCGAATTTCATGCGTTTTTAAAAGTCACGACAGTACGTGGTAGTGTCCCCTACCAGAAATGTGGCCCTGTCACCTCACGTGTTAGAACATATCTGCTCTGGTAAACACGGTCTATGAGGTCACCACAGCTAAGCTACCTGATGAACTTCTGCATCGCATGTCAGAAAGAAGGTATCCAACCGATAGAACTGCACCGGTTATGCCACATCGCCCATTAAATACGTTCTTCATGACTGCGATTTCTGAGTGGGATTAGAGAAAGAGGGAAAGGATGCAAGAGGAGGAGTTTACTAAAGGCCCTAAGGGGTACATCAATCTGGTGTAGCCTTACAAATTTTTCGCCGGAGTTGTGTTGAGCCGCAGTAGAAGTAGAGAGCAGAAGTAATGGGAAGATACTAACATGAGTCAGAGGCCAATCAGCAGAGTAAAAGGCCAACAAGCGAATGGAAGGGGATCTGCGAAATTAAATGCATGGCATGATAAATTGTCATATCACTTTTTAATTGACTTTATGCCTAAATGAACTCATCCACTTAGGAGCATGACAGTTGCGCACTTGCCTAAGTAGCAGCTTCTGATGCACCTTTACTGCAATGGCAAAAGATCAGCCTCTACAATTTTCTAATTTTTAAAAACATTAAAAGGCATTTTTTGGCAAAAAGCTCTTTTTATTTGGCCAATATGCTTTGCCATTTTTTTAACCTTTGATTTGTTTTAGCTTGTCACAATATTACAATTTTGTATTGGATGAATTTCAAAAAGGTGGGATTGAAGCAGCAGTTAGGGATGCTTGATTTTTCCGAAAAAATAGATGAGTGGAATCGGAACGCATTAGAGTTATTTCGGATTTCGGAGATAAATGAGGTAGTTTTAACAGAGTTGTGTCCAATACCTTCTTAATAACTTTGCTTTGCTTTGACACATAATTCTGGGCTAGTTGATCGAAACACACTGTGTTCATGTCTCATTGTTAAATAAACAATCCTTTTCACATATTACAGCCAGTTTGAATATTTGAATGCGAAAAAGTTTCCTGACTTGCATTTTTTACTATACCTGTCTTATCAAATCGGACAATTATTTTGAGGTGTAACTTGATTTAATTCATTTGTGTGAAACTCATATTGATACATTTATACTGCACTTTTACAGTAAAGGATAACTTTTGTGAGCTATTTCAAAAATAATTGTTTATATACTTCTATTCCCGGTCATTTTGCACATTTGCTTGTACTTTATTCCTATTTTTATTTATTCATTACCAGAACCAGGAATTTTTCGGAGTAGTGCGCTTTTATTTTTATGGTCCATACGACAAGTACTACTCAAAATGCGTTCGAATTTCAAGTCACGCTACTGCACGACATTTGGTGAATGTGCTTGTGGAGAAATTTCATCCTGACTTACGCCTTCTCAAATCCGGACGCTACGCTCTCTACGAATATCATCCGTCCACAGGAGGTACCACTTTTTCTTCTTTAAAAGTGCCAAAAAGTTGTTCTTTGGTATTTATTTGAAAAGATCTGGTTTTTCTTGGTCACATGGAGAATGAGTAATAACATTTTATTTTTTGTCTTTGTTTTGCAAAAAAAACTACAGAACGACGCTTGGGTGCTGAGGAACGACCTCTGATGAATCAAATCAATTGGAAGACTAATCAACGCGAAGGCCGCTTTATTTTACGCGACGAGTCCAAGCTCGACATGAGGGTGAGTTCAAACACCCCAATCCCGTTTGTCATGGGGCAACATCACTTAAGGTGGTGACCTAGAATTCCCGCTTCTTAACCACCTTTACGTGAGAATCAAAGAGGTCAGCTTGAATTTATAAGAGCATAGTTTTGGGCCATTTCTCACCACCTCTAACACACACACACACACATTTAAGTGTGTCAACGACGGAAAATTGAGTGTCTAACATGCAAACGACCTTTAAAAGTGGCATTAGAATCTAGATTTAATTGCTTACTTTTTTGGGTACTCTGACCGCTTAAAAGATGACCTCAAGTGCCTCCACAAGTAGGGCTGTCATCAGCAGTTTTCCCATCTGATCACAATCAGTTGATGGTGTCTTCCCTAACCTGTTTAAATTATCTTCAGGATAAGGACTCACTCCTGATAGTCGTCAATAAGGGCTAAATTGTTCACTTTCCTGTCATGATTTTTAGTACCTTTGCCTAAAATTAATAAAAAGGGGGGAAAGTGGTGAATTATGAAAGGAGGTTGTCTAGACAAGTTATACGGGCACGTCATCAGGCTGTCATACAGGCAATAGTTGAGAAGGGGGTAGTAACAGAGTCCTGTGAGTCAGTCAGCTTGGATGATGATAAACCAGGTTGGCTTTATTGCCCAAAATGGGTCTTAGGTGCTCACTCACGTCCGCACAATAAGGCGTCACCCTCCCCTTGGCCAATCACGTCTCCCCTCCTACCTTAAGCACAAGCTAGCTAAGTCCTACGGCCGGATGCGTGGGTTGGAGCTTAATCCAGACGTTTATCCACCCCCACCTGTCAATCGGGCCATGCTTCACTAGGAGGAAGAGTGAACACCAAATCACGATTTCCTGAAGCTGGATGAACCTTGAACACGGAGGCAGGGAATCTTTCCAGGAGTCGAAGACATCTCCGTGTATAATTGGTCTTGGTGAGGACTGCCACTCAAACGGAAATGAAGAAAGCGTCGGAGATGAAGCGGTGAGAAAGCCCATTCGCGTGGGTGAGTGGAAAGGAGACGGCCAGGCGCATAAATTAGGTGCAAATTCTCACACTCGACACGTGTGAAGGGCGAATTTCAATCACGCGGTTTCTCCTTGATCTCCACATGTGTAATTTTCTCACCGTTTAACGGACGTCATGGAATCTTCATGCGGATAAAAGAAAGCCCTTTTCGTTTTCGACATTAGATATTGAAAAAGGAAAAGCCGCGAGCTTTTGGTCTTATAAAGCTGTTTTGCTTCACTCTGGTAAGGCCTATGCGCAAACTCCAGAACTGAGTAGTTGAGACGGTTTAGCTTTTGATAATAGGTCAATGTTCCTATCTTCTACCTCCGGATTTGGCTTCTTAGATGGAGATGATCGGGTGAATGAGGGGATCTACTTGGGCAGCACGGAGGAAATTCACAGGATCTTACAGCGTAAGGGGGAGGGGGAGACCAGCGTTGGTCTCTGTCGTGGAGATCCGTGACGGCCACTCAACCAATCGAGAGGTTGGCGCAAACTAACTGCAAGCAAACTCGTATTACGGTCGCTGGTAGAGAACACTTTGTTGCCTTTAGGAGGCAGATAAAGGTGGTCTGATTTTGACTTATAAGTGAGGGTTAAAAGGAAATTTTGCACGATTCGAAAAACTAAACCTTGCGAAATCGAGTAGACTAGTGCAGCACTTTACTTCCACTTCAAAAACACAGAACTTTTGACAAAGACTCCATCACTTGCAAGTGTTGTCAGATCGAATTGAAGGCGAATGCTAGTAATTCTTGAAGGTGAACTCTTACATGTCAGCATCCTACTTAAATGAATGCCGCGACGTGCCCTGAGGAGTCTGCAAAAGTCCTATGACAGAACATGCGACTTATTACATATAATGGTTAGCAAATGGGAAAAGTGAGGTTTAAATCACTTTATGAAGTCATTTTATTGCAAAACGTGGTGTCCTAAGACCTCCCTAATGTCGTAACAGGGCAGTGGTATGAGTAGGAACATACTACTTACTACTCTGTGAGTAGCGCTGTGTGGGGTCACTAGCATGGGTCCGGTTTTTGGGCGCACCTGCCATTCGAAGTACAAGCAGCGGAGACTAGTGTGCCCGTACAGTTCAGCACACACGGTTAAACGATGCGTAAGATCGCCACACAGTTCCCCTCTGCCTTTGAGGGTCGTCTCCAGGGTCAACCTCTCACGTGGGCCATCATGGTGTAGCCATCGTGGTAGATGGGAGACAGCCCAATAACCAGCAACACCAGTGACTGGACTAATTCCCCTCTAGGATGCACACGAGGCGTCATTTGATGCCATCGTCAAGGTCCACCATAATAGACGTCTCCAAGTGATTCAAGTGTGGCGTCGCTGGAGCTGTTGGACGTGTTTATTTCTTTTCGTCACTGCTGGTTCCCTTTCCATCTCAGCTCAGGTCTGCCTTTGCCGCGTAACGCGTGTTCAGGATAAAAGTTGTCAAGTAAAAGGGTAATTTCCAAACCACTATTCGACAAACTTTTTGGTGAATCTTTCACCAGACCCAAGTCTTCCTTCACTTCGTGAAACTCCTCACTTAGTTGTGATGCTCTGTCTTTTGCACGATGGTGCCTCTCTACCACCATTATTACTACAAACTGGATGCTTCACTGCTGCACTATGATACCGAGGCCGACGATACCGAAGTGGCTAGATCTGTGTCTGTTGAAAAGGCAAAACCTGATAGTGGTTTTTCCTCTCAGGCTGAGCACATCATCCTCCACCAACTGCTCAGCCTGCGACCCAGCTCTCCATCACAGCCTCACCACGAATACAGGTCGTGCAAACTGTCACGAAAAGTGGGTCCTCACCTACATCCACACACGTATGTGACGCAATTGGTGGAGGTCTTCAGGCGACGCGTAGCCGCTAGGTATCTTCGCAGTAACCCCAAAAAAACACCTACAAGAATCGGTCATCTCATGCTTAACGACCTAGCAATGCTATGGGGTGGTGGAGTATACGTCTTCCGGAGAGCGATTCGCATCTAATTATCTGGGCTGATTCAACGACTGACTCAGAGAAACGCAGAATCAGACGGTCGTTTATGCGGAAAAAGAAATCGTTCTCGTTGTGAAATGTTCCTCTTCGTCACTACTCTATTCTTCCTTCATAAATTAGTAGTCATTTTGCCGATCGGACACCCTTTCGTACCTACTGCTTATTTTGTTGATGCACTTGGCACGTTAGCCGCCACCGTCACGTATATGTGACGCGAGATGTCTTCAACTGGTTCCACACAACACACACATTTGTTACATTTACTTAAGGGCCAGTAGGAAAAGGTTTAACCAAATGCGTGGATTGAATGGATTAAGCGGAAGCAATATGGTTGCTTAGGCACCCGTCCGGAGCATACGCACCCACACACACATGACTAAAAGTTGGAGGTGGGAGGACTTGTGGTGTTGCAGGGGGAATTTACTGCCCGCGCTTAGTTCCCTTGCAACATCTTTTTTTGTAACATTACTTTCTCCTTCTACTCCTTGTGGTTGTGGATTCAGCTTGCCATCTGGGGTCAACTTCATTCGCCATACGATCGTGGTTATTTGTGAGAAATTCCTCCTCTGTAGAGCAAAAATGTGTGCTCGGGCGCACACCTGCCCACGATATTCGCCTCCGTCTTAACTGAACCCTGTCCCCCGCTTTGGTACAGTTTGTGTGCAAGCCTCACAGTCCTTCTGTGCGCTGTGGTGATAACTCCTTGACCGAATGCCAAGGGCGGCGAGATTCGGTTGACAGGGCGTGTCACGTGATTCCTCATTTTTTTCTCATCTACTTTACCAAAGTATTTTATATGTGAAGCGATTTCGACAATCTAGTACCAGATATTTAGGTAAATGCAGAAAATACTAAAAAGCTTTATTTCTCAGAAGGTGTTGATGCAGTTGTCTTCAACAGCATTTAATTTAAAGGGAAAATGAATTAACAGGAGTAGAGAATATTGACTGCCTTAACCACATTTGCGGGTTTCGTTGGTTGACGTGGCGTGGAAAATTGGTGCGATAAAAACGGATATTTTTTGCATTTATCTAAGCAGCATAAGCTTTTGATCACTGTGCTTTTTCTTTGAATATCTTCATAGATGTGTTTTAATTTGTTGACTCACACTAGTTGCACAGCCAGCGAAAGTACTTTTGTGGGGAGGTAGTTTAAACGAGTCTCGTATCCAGGCGACCGCAGAGACATCTTGGATTTCATATATGCCCACATCAGTGTTACAGTGCAAATAGAGCTTAGGGCATTTTTTCTTAGTTGTTTTTTTGAAAGGAGTCTAGCTTTAACCAACTTCACAAGTAATAAGTCAGTCTAAGGCATCTGCTGCTAAAGAGTAGCAAGTCCACATTCCACGCCTTCAATTTGGGTGCTTTTTAGTTCGTAAATTAAATTAAGTGGGGTGGTTCATTTGATTTACAGGGAAATCCAGTGGCATAAGGAAAATACAATATCATCATCTATGTTAGATTGAGCTAATCGATTTATTTCAGCCAATAGGAGGCGAGCCCCCGCGTGATCTCACACCTGATTGGCCCGCTTAAGTTGGAAAGTTGATGAAACTGTAATCGGGTCGCGTTTTCGCCTCTTTCTCTGGGATTCTAATGTGCTTCTACGTTTTTTCCTTTGAGTGAGCCGTCATAGTGTCTCTTCCCCTTCCAACTGACATTGATTATGCTACAAAGTGGCATGCATAATCGGCCGGCAATAATGAAACACGCCTTACTGCGTATCTGCATATTTTTTTTGTTCAGTCGGGCTGCGTAAATAAAAGTGCCTACACACGTATTGCTGAGCAAAGGCACGTTCCATGGTTTACTCCACGTTACCATGACTACCCTCGCAGCTGTTTCGCAGTTCTTCTGACCTGTTAGGCCTGCACACTGTCGTTTCAGTTTTTTTTTTTGTCAAATCATTAAGTCCTTTTGAACTGGTAGGTATTTAGTTGTTGTTTCTGCCTCGCTTAAATGAAATCAAGCACTTTTAAGTTAGCCTAATTAGGAAGGGGCACAATTGGGGACTTCACTTCACCTCTGTGTCCTGTCACTGCCAATTTTTTCGGTTCGTTTGCGTGTTTGATTTTGTTCACGCAATTCTTACAACGTGGCGTGACATTTGTAGTTATACTCGCTTGGCACATCATGAAGGTTGGCTAATTGGACTGTCAAATCACTGGTACCTGATATAGATTTGTATTTGGCCATTTCACCTGCTTTTCCACCAATAGGAGGTCTCCCTCGGTAAGATGGGGTAGGGTAATTAACCATCAGGCAAATTTGCCGGTTACAATTGTACTGATTTCTTGGGCCCTGTTATACTATCTCGCTTTAATTGCGCCCGGAAGTTGCTGAACGGGCATAATTAACTACCTTGCTCTGATACCGCAGTTACCAAATTGTTTTGCTAGCCCAGAAAAAGCATTTTTTGAAAGCGTTAGTGGAAGTGCGATTTTGGATTTTAAGTGCTCTCTTAATGTGTTGGAAGTTGGCTAAAAATCGCTTTCAGTGCCTAAATTCTTGGCAAGCATGCCCATTTGGGGAGGGAGGGAGGGGATCTCGTTTATCTCTCAGGCTTTGCACACCATATGTTGATGCCAAACTCTAGAAGTAATGCCCAGTCGTCATAATTTCAGCCAAAGGAATAAGTCGGATAGGTTTTAACGTCACCTACTTGTCAAATTCCGTCGACTCACACTTTAGGTCAACCGCAATCCCCCGAATGTTGGCGATAGCAGTGGCAGTATCAACATGGCAAAGTGGCGAAGCGCAGGCAATCTCATAACTGAGACCCCTTCTGTGGAAGCTTACGCGAGGTCGCAAGAACCCATCGCCAACAGCTCGGACGAGCTAGTCTTTGCTGTCGCCAACGAGAGGGAGAAAAATGCCCCTTCCGTATCTACTAAAAAGAAGTCCAAATCGTTGAAGACCAATGGCAACATAAAGAAGAGGCAGAAGATGGCAGCTGCACTTGCAAGCAACCAGGCTGTTATGCGAACTTCCTCCTTGCCGAATGTTTTGGACGAACCGGAGGCGCTAATGAATGCAAACCATGAAGGCATTGATCCGCAAAGTGAGTTTTTAGTTCTTAAAGACCTCTATCAAGACGTTAGGTGATGCATTGGTCTGATGGGAACTTTTCTGTTCCGAAAGTTGTTCACCCCTGCAGTTCAGCGCGAGCTAACTCTTCTCAGTAGGTAGAAGTGACTGTGAAAATCGTTGAAGAAGAGGGACCGAAATTTGTCATTGAATTGTGTCTTCCTTGTGAAGACGGAGTTCTCTATGGTGTAGTTTAGGGATCAGAAATGTAAAATTTGCAGAAATAACATTCGACCTATGGATTTTTTTGCAGCGGGGGCGCTAACAGTTTTCCTTCAATCCGCCAATCTACCCACTCGCAGCCAAACACTGAAATCAACAGTTTCGGAGACGTCAGATCAGATAATTCAGCGAATTCTCGCCTCCTACGGTCGTCTGCAAAACCTCGGATCCTACTGCCTCGAGCAAGTCAACATTCCAACGAAAAGCGAAAATCTTCCGTAGGTTCCAGTAATCTCGCAGCGCCTTCCTACTCACTAAATTTCAGTAGCAATTGACCTTTAATTCGGTGCAGTTACAGCGTTCCACCCCGCCGTATACTTCGAACCGAGGAGAGACCACTTCACATTTTGCGGAGCATTCAGGCAAAGTTTCCCCGAGTTCGCACGGAATTCTATCTGATCTTGCATCAGGATGAGAGCCTTTCGCTACACGAAGATGCGAGCTCGCAGCAACAGGACTACGCCAATATTTCGGTTAAGCGACCTGCACCGCAGCTGGTAGAGGTGAATCCCAACGGGACGGCAAAGGTTGGGAAGGTTCTACGATTTAATCTCACTGGTCTTGTTCAACAAGGAGGTGGGAGACAAAAAGCAGGTGTTCCGATTAAGGTTGGCTCGCAGTTTGCGTCTGTCGGACCACCTCCGAATATATTTCTCAGTGCGGTGAGTTAGTGATGTAAGGAGAAAAGCCGATGATCTCAATTACATCAAAAGTTATCTGCCAGGATTTCTGTATAGAATAGATTTCCGGACATCCGTCCAGTACACTGTACGCTGCTTCCGGCATCTTCAGCAGTCGACGGTGAGAAAGGTGAAAGCACCGGTGCTGCAGTGCTCATCTCACCTGCTCTCGACATTACAACAAGGCCTCCAGGACCCACTGCAGTTTGTCTAGACGGTCGAAAAGTAGTACGTCCAACACCCCTTCGTCATGGGTGCATTGTGCAGTTAGGTCGATCCCTCTTCCTCAAGTTCCTCGAACAGGGCACCTCGTTGGAGAAGACACGACAGGTTCATGAACAAGTGCCGAAGGGATCTATGCCCGACCTTACGTTCCAAGAAAGCCATAGAGGGTGGAGTCCCGAAAAACAATACAGAAGTAGGACTTCTTTGGTAAGTGAAATGTCCAGACCTCGAGGTTTCTTGTTTGATCCATAGCTGATATTTCAGTTTGAGAGCCTGTCAATTTCCCCTCCTATTGAACAGAACCAACCGACTTACACAAATACGGATCAGCTGTTTCCCGATCGACTCCCAATCCTCGTGGATGTTCGCCTTCCTTCATCTGCTACTTCCACCACCACAGATGATTTTGCTGCCTGTCTCCATGAGGCTGCCTGCGACTCTGTCGATGCGGTGCTCAAACTGGCCACCAGTCTCTCATTCCACACTACGACAGTTACTTCCGCCTCAAGCAGAAGTACGTCTAGACCGCCTATCTTTGTACTTACACCGGCTTTCCTGCTTTACGGTCTCCTTCGTGGATGCTTGCGACGGTGGAAGGTTGCTCATTTAACGAGGGAACAGCAAGAGCACTATCTCAGTGGCCTACTCAATCATATTGGAAGTCAGATGTTCCAGGTGAGTGGTGAACGCTGTCTGATGACTGTTTCCAGAGTCTAAATGTGGTTTGCACACACAAGCAAAGCATCTAACAAACTTTCCCATTCCTTTATCCTCACTTCTAGTGTATCCAAACGTGCTGTCAAGGCGATTTCAGCACTTGGTCATCCATGCGTGTTATCTTCAATCAGCTTCTTTTCTGGCTGGCAAATTCCAGTGAACTCCTTAATTTCCTGCAAAATGACACTGATTTTTCCGAGGCTATCGCTACTTCCAGTCACCTCTTAGCCAACTGCATCGATTCCGCCTTCCATGAGTTGTGTCGAGGCTTTCTGGAGCTCCTAAAGTATCTCACACCAAGTCTTCTTTTTCCTGGAGACTTCGACCAACAAGACGATCTGCGTTTGGATGACAGACCCCTTCCTCCTACTGATGATCTCTACTTGTCGTTGCCATCCACAAACCTGGAGCCGAACATTCAACGTCTCCTTCAGATTCTCGCTTTCATGATACGGGGGATGCGTCAGGCGTGTGTGAACGTCTCCTTTGCGCTACAGCTCTTCGCTTATGTCTTTCATTCAATGGGAGCTTGGATCTTCAATTCCATAGTCCAGGCGAAGGATCATCAGGAGGGCAGAAGGGGGAGTGTAGGTAGTTTGTGGACCACCAGACTGGGTGCTGGACGTCTGATGCGACGTCTGCAAAGAGTGAACCAGTGGGCAACAAGGCATGGACTCGGCAGCGTCTGTGAGTTGCACCTCCTCATTCCCGTTCAGGTGCGTCAGCGATTTAATAATACTATGCCTACTTAATGTTGCAAAAGTAGCGTATGTACTTCACGTCTATGAATTAGATCTCAGAAATCACAGAAGCAATGATATCATGTAATTGTTTTGAGAAATTTGGCAAACTTTTTCCAGTACCTTTTAGATGTAAAACGTTGCTGAGCTTGAAACATTTCCTTTATTATTTTACTATTCGGATATGTTTTCCTTCACAGACTTGCCAACTTATCACTGCGGATCGCTCCAAATTCCGTCCATTCCAGAAGCGAGTGTTGGAGTTGCGTTCATTGAACAGCGCTAGGATAGAATGGCTTCTTACACATCTTGGTGACCCACCTCCATTGACCTCGGAATGGATCAAAAATATTACAAAGAGCGTTAGACAGGTCTGCTTTTTGCGAATCTACTTTGAATGAAAGCACTTGCACCCAAAGTATGACCTATGCACCTCTCCTTTTATTTCAGGAAATTGATCGTGAGATTATGGAGCAACACGGTTCCCCATCCAGTCGTGAGACCCGAGAACTGCTCTCATTACAGGTCCCAGTTGAGCTGCCTCTGCCCCTCATAGTACCTCCTGAGGGGTATGTCGCCACTAGCGGGTTGGTTGGGATTCCTGAGGGTTTCATGGAGACTGTACAACCTCTCGTGGAAGACGGGTGTTTGAGTGTGCGGAGGAATGAGCTAGCTTTTAAGGCACCGCTTAACGGAATGTGGACTGGACACTTCAGGAATAGGGTGAGTGCGTCCTCTTTATTCAACTTCCTCACGACCCATTTGAACTACTACCACTAGCATGATGTCTAAGCAGTCATTAGAGTGACAGTTAAAAATATTCTTATCAATTTTTAGCCGTCTTAAACCGAGGATATGCCAACACTGACAACCAGTAGTACGATCGTTTCTGTAGAGTATTAAATTTAAGACCTTTTGTCTGAGGAGTTTTTGATTGGTTTGTGCGTAAAATGCGCCCATTTCCGTCCACTTTAGTTTGACTCGAGGTCGGCACCTAGTGGACATCCGATGAACAAGACTTTCAACAACCAACCCGATGCTAATGTTGAACACCTTGCCAAGGAAGCTGGCGTCAAGCTGTCTTCCGTGAAGCGCCTCGTTCTTCAAAAGAATGGCCAACCTTTAGGTCTTGGAATAGTTGCTGCAAAGGTAAAGCGCTTTCAAATAATCGGAGTCTAATGTCATCTTATCAGTCGCCCGGTTTGTAACCTAAGGCCTATGACAACGGCTGACAAGATTTAAACACTTTTGAGCTTTTGTTTCAGCCTGAAGGCAATGCGCCTTATGGCATCTACATCCGACACATCGTTCCGAGTAGCGTAGCTGCTCAAGACGGTCGCGTAGAGGTCGGAGATCAAATCCTCGCGATAGCTAATTCCTCTCTTGTCAACTGCGACCAATCGGAAGTCGCTGTGTCCATTCTGGCACGTATTTCAACTGCCGTCCACTTAGTGGTCGCTAAACGGGCGGCTCAGGCAAGAGGGATCATGAATTTGATCAATTCGGCTCAACGAGGGAGGCCTCTTCCAACTACGATGGCCCGTTCCACACCCTCTCTCAATCAGGCCAGTCACTGGAATCAGGAGGAGGATGATGATGAAGATGAAGACGACGACGATGATGATGATGGAGATGGAGTGCAGTTTGGGTCGAGAGTACCGCTTGGCAGCGGTGCCTCGCAGAGGCAGTCACAGCAGTCCGTGAGTGTTTTAATTAATAAACGAGAAGGATGCAGTAATTATAGTCTCGGTGGTCAAAAAAATGCCAGAGAAATGACAGTTTGCACTTTAACCCATCTTTGAACTCACTAGAACCCACAGGTGCCGAAAAATGCCTAAGAGATTTGGTTCCGCCATGCTGTCCGTGCTGCAGGGCTGATCGGCAGGTGTGCTGCGGGATGGTGGTTACCATGACTGAAATCGACACAGACACAGTGTCGCCTCTAGAACGTTGAAACTATTCATGTCTCGTTTGCTAAGCAAAAGAATTGCGTTTAAAGTCTTCTGGAGGTACAAGTAGATGGTTGGGCGTCCTCGTTGTCATGACACTCCTTTCATCACCACTCGTTGCTATGCCACTTACAGTATAATGCCTTGTTGTTCAACGATGTGCAGGGTGCTCCACAGCCTGAGTATTGGCTATCCAAGCGTAGAATTGTCACATTGATATCCAAGTTGTATTCACGACCAAAGATTTCTAACTTGACTATTCCTTTTAACAGTTATACCGACCCAAGAGCGTGGACGGTTTGACCAACGGCCGAGGAGTGACTCAAGCACCCAAGATTCGCGAATTTGAGGTCTCTTCCGATGACATTTCCAGTGACGAGGGCAGCGATGAAGTCTGGAATTCGACAGAGAAGACCCTAAAACCAACTTCTAAATATGGTGGAAGACCTTCACCACCAGAAGTAAATCTCTCCTTCCAACCGTCGCCGGTGAGGTTGCAACTATTTCCGCAAATTCTCCCCTTCACCTTCGTTTCTGCTAGGAATTGGTTGCCAATAGTTGGCGAGTTTTTCATTTATGCCCTTCTATTACTTCCCTTCTGTAAGAATCTAGAGTCGTGTCTAGTCTGCGAAATCAGAATTGTCGGTTCCTTCGAAGATAATTCGTTAATACTGCCACAGGTTTGCTCCTAATTCATCTGGATCCATTGATCTGAAAACTCCTCATTTCATCGATGTTCATAAAGTCTGTGTGACTGGTAGTCTGAGTGAATTTGGCAGAACTTCATGTCACCTGCGTTAGAGCCCCGATAGACAGTGTAACCAAATAGTACAGCGTCCTTCTCTTCCATACAGGCCAGTGTTCAGGGGTCCCTTGACAGCTACAAATTCCGATCACAGCAGGATCTTCGATCCAGTGGACTGACAACACGACCCTCCAGCAACGGCGTTGACAATGAATCCAGTTCAACAGATTTGAATGACTTCGCCAAACGTAATGCTGAGGCGATTAACAGCCAGAAAAATGGTCCTTCCAAGCAAGATGTCTCGCCCTCATTGTCATCTCTTTCCTCGACATCGTCCATAATCACTCAGGAGATAAGGAAAGGTGGGTACCTTTTAAAGGTCAACATGTGTTAATTTAGACCCTCCAAATGTCACAAAGCCTTCACAAGAAGGCGTCTACACGAATGCCTCTGAGATGACTTCGGAAAGTGAAGATATTATCACAAATGTTAAGCAAAGGATTCCTTCCGAAACTCGTGCTGCGACTGCTGAAAAGACCACATCTCCGTTGAACGCTTCTCCGGCTAGAAGCGTCACTGACAAGGCGATGCAAACAGTAGCAGAGTAAGTTCATGCGGCCTTTTTTCATCCTGACGTTATTATAGATCGAACGATGCTAGAAATGTTGCCGAGTCGAAGAAGCCTCCCACTACGGTGTCTCTTCAAGCTTCTGCAGTACAGACAGAACCAGTTCGAGTGGTTCAGGAGGAGGAGGACGTCGTTAGGTATACACCTCCATTAGATCGACTGCCACTGGTGCGAATACAGGAAACTAGGAATGGCGCAGCTAGGCCCAATCCACCCTCGACTGGACCCACCCTAGTGGAGGACGTCACGAAGGCAGTGATTGATCCACAAGTTGGACGGTGAGTTGTGAAATCGCAGGATTAAACCGACAGACAAACCTGGGTGCTATCACTTTCTTTCCCGTCTTGAATGCAGTTTTCATTATCAACCACTACCACCATCTAGACCGCTTCCAAAGCAGAAAATCGTGACCACCTCAGCTTCCTACTCAGATCTTCGTCCCTCTTACTCCACTACTAATGTGAATACAAGGGCGATCAATAGCCGTCCAGAACCGAGTACCATCCAATCAGGCGTAACCTATTGGTCCTCCCAGACCGATCTCGCAGTTTCTGGCGGTTCTCCACCCCCGGAACCAACCGCCAATTTCCCGCAGTACCATCCGCCAGACAGCCTCGAGCCTTCTGATCTAGCGATCAAGTATGGTGATGTGGGACCTCCAAGAGGTCACAGATCGCCATCACTTTCTCCAACAGGACCTTCGTTGAGTGTGTATGGGCCTCCGGCTAGTCACTTTATCCCCCGGAGATCAAGCATCAGGGACAATTCACCAATGAGGCTGGATCTTATTCAGCGTTCGAGATCGGTAAAAACAATTAAAATACGTATCAATGACAAGTGGTAAATCTGCTTGAGACACCAACTACCTAAGTGGGGAATAAGTAATATACTTCAGACCAATGAAATGGTTATACTATACGGTTTACATTGGCTACTGTAATAAAAAATTAGCAGTGTATCAGTCCAGTCCGATAGACTATTTTTCGTAATTGCCAATGGGAAAATTTCCACCGTTTCATTCCCAGCTGTCGGCGTCCAATCACACCGTGCGTGCGGGCAGTTTGAATCGTGTGACACAGCCTGAGACGGTGGACAATGGGTCGCGACATCTGCAGGACCTGGCGCGTGGAATTCGCCAACTGGAGGATGCAGTGGAGGCTAATCCGAATGCTGATTTGATACGAGAGCTGGACCAACTGCGTGTGGAATATCGCTTTCAGCTGCAAATGAATGAGAGGAGTCGAACGCGGTCGCTGAATGCGCCCTACATGCACTCCCCTGGCGTGGTATGTTGGAATAGGAAAACACTTTTTTCCTTTAAAAAATCATCAACGGGTCCATTCATGGGAAGTTTAATGCTGACGTAGAGCACTGGTGTTCTTACTTGACGATTGGGGAATGCTCATTTGACGAGAGCAAACCAACCCGAGCTTATTCCTAATTTGTGCTCGTCCAGCCAATGATAGAAAGGAAGGAGAAGGGACTCTTGTGATTTCAGAGTACCTAGCTGGACTTTAATATCAAACTACCTGGAGGATTTTTAAAATGTCCGTTTTTTCCTTCGAATTTCAGGGCGCCCCACCGAAAGCTGCGCCCCCAGTTATGCCGAAGCCTCGACCGTTCGTGCCAAATATGCCTGCGACTAACGGATCGGTCCCTTCTCAACCGTGAGTTGTAGATTTTTGTCCCTTGGATCAGTGACAGGAAGTAGTGGCATTACTGGCATGGCGGTCTTTACTTGATCAACTGAAATGTTCGCCTAGTAAGACGGTAATTAAACCAAGCTGTAACGCGTCATAGCAACGGCACTTGAATGTGTTCAAAACGCTTAAGAGGCAGAAGTGAAGATGGCTGCAGTGTAGAATACTTACGGTGCAGCCAGAAGACTCCAAATTTCAAGTCCGAAAAACACCTCGTAGATACTGATGGAATTCGTTAGATGGATTTAGGTGAAGTTAAAGGTTGGACGAAACTACCCCAGTTCTAACCTTCTCTTCGCCCCACAGCGAAGTTTGTACACAGATCCTTCCAACCTAGTCACAAGCCTTTCTCTCTTCAGCGGATTGACAGATCAAGTATAATGTCCTGATTTTCCTTACAGGTTTGACGACCTTGCCAACGAACGCTTGGAGGCACTTCGTGTGCAGGAGCAACGGGCACGCATCTACGAGGAGAATTTGAGTCGAAAAGACGTACGACATTACCTTCTTTTGTTTCATATCAATGATCCTTCACGTAGAGTCATAGTAACAAAATGCTAGATTTTGAGAATACCTGTTATTGAAGGAGAGGACGTCAAAGCACCAATTTGGTACGCGGAACCGCGGGGATTGAAGACTTCTCATAGCTAAATGTCTATTGAGTATAGGGCCCATTTGCCAGGTGCTCGCCGTGATCACTCTTCGCTTACTACCATCATGAGTCCTCCTACGAATCGCTGTCACCAAAGAATCAGAAACGAAAGTGATACGATGATTTCACGTTGAACGGAGAATAGTACTTACTTCAGTAGAGGCAGTAGTACATCAAGGCAAATAGATGATGCTCTTGCTCCATTCAGCATACTCTGTGCCCCAAAAGACTTGTGTAAGGAGTGGTCGTGAGAGGACGGAGTATCCGACCCGCAGACTGGATGAAGTCACTGGTCGAGGGCACATTGTGAGGGTCATTTGAAATTATGACCCACCCAATTCCTTCCCACTATCTCGCACAAGAAGGCTGACACCATTTCTCCACATATTCAACTGTTCTCCTCCTTCTGATCGATGAACTGCGGATTGTTATTCACTGAGAGCGGGTTCAGTTACCGCGGTCACCATCGCACCTTTTTGAGGCCTCTCTAGAACCATGGGAGAACACACCAGCACATATGGATTTAACCTAACGCATGGAATGGAAAGAATGCTAATATACATGAATGGAATGATCGAATATTTGAAGTTATTGTGCCCTTTACTAGCCCCTCCTTTCACCTTCTTTGTCTTTCAGAACTCCAATCTCAAGTCTTCCACCTCTGGCAATCTTTACTTCGCACCCCCGGCCATCCCTGTCCCATCACTGCAGCCGAAATATACATACCAGGTGGAGTCGGGTGAGTCTAACATGCCTTTTGGGGGCACAGATAGAATCCCGCTTCGATAAACTGAATGCTTTGCCAGCTAGCCGCTCATTTTCATATAAGTAGCTCGCTTACTTGAGTCGATGTCAACAAGGTGGGGGGTCTCATTACCGACTAGCAGATAGTTTTCGGGGACAAATAATATGCAGCACTCAACCAATCGGTCTGTTGCAGGAGATCTATTCTAACCCGTAGTTATCAGTAAAGAGTAAGAAAAAGGTGTGAGGAAGCACTGTTTATATTTCTCGTCACAGGTCCACTGTATGAGGAGGACACCGGCGCGATGTCCAAAGCGTCGGTGACATCACGCTACTCCCGAACCGCTACTCTCCAGTCTCCACTCGCCTCCTCCCCAAATACCGATGTCTGCTACTCACCGCTGACTCGCGGGACGGAGTTACGTGCCAGTAGGAAATCGGTGACATTTGACACGAATCTTGAGTCCGTAGCGCTCTACTCACCGCCCGAGACGCCTTCTGGACTCGCGGGGAAAACCTACCAACCCACCAATCAGGTGAGGCAGGCTGCAATGCGCGTGGAGAGCCAATCGGCTTCGCGGTTTAACAGGTCGACTGCAAGTGGGTTCTGCGATTGGTTAACCGATGCGATATGTTGATTGGTTAGCTGATTCTTAATGCGTTTTTTCTGCCTTCCAGGTGAGCCAAGAAGTCCAACTTACGGATCAGTAAGTTTTTTAGTCTGATTTCACTTGAATAGTTGTAAATTTCCTTAAAAATCCCAAAAAGACGGGTGGGAAAATATGTAGAAATATGTTATCTCACTTCGCCTCAATTGAGTCCTCGATTCCCATAATTTCCTTTCTCTTCAGAGCGTAACACAACCAGAAAACGCGGAAAACCTTTCCTTCAAGGATAAGATGGCCTTTTTTGCTAAAACTATCGGTGAAGATATGCCGAAAGATCGTTACAAGGCCTCCCAAAAGGAGCGACAAATAGCGAACAATTTGCTACGCTAACTTGATGTGATTTCCTGATTGTATTTGCTTGTAAATTAGAACATTGCCCTGCCCCAACCCCGTCCCATATTCCTCTTCTTCCTCCTCTGCTGATAATTCTTCTTCCACTACTTGTTTACTTCTTTTGAGACTAAGGCGTTTTAATTCACTTTTGCGTAATTTGCGACTTGAGCAGTGAATAAATAATTTTTGCTTTTCGCTCTAGACCTGGATGTGCGATTTGAATTGTGCGGAGTTTGGAGGTTCATTTGATTGTTAAGGAGTGTTTGCTCCCCTCCCCCCTCTTGCTCCCGTTGGACGAATGAGAGCCACAAGCCTACCATTCGTAGCGTTAGGGAAACACACCATCCAAGGCATCATCGAACTTCCGAGAAAGGAAAACTTCCCACCGCCCATCATACTTTTATAGCCCAACAAATCATACTCCTCTATCAAAGGCAATGCAGTCGAATGTACATGAGAGAAACGGTGAACTACCGCTTCCACAAATATTCTTGAACATGCAAAAAGAGCGTCAGAAAGTGGACCTTTTGTCTCACCGTCTACCACGCATTTTTCGGGTATGCGGCCTTGCATTCGGTGTCTCCCACTGGCTTTATAACCTCACCATTGGTGTCTCTACTCATCACTCAGCAGTCAAGTTGACAGATTAATTGCAATGAATGCATTCCGAGCAGCCCCAAGGCTGTTGCCACAGTGCTGAAGCAGATCAGGCACACAAAACTACCCAACTAGAAGGCACACTGGATTTGTGGTGAGGATAGAAATGCGAATGGTCGGTATTTCGCTAGAATTCCGCTGTGATTTGTGAATCTCTTGTCATTTACAACGACAGCTTGATGCAGTGATAATGCGGACAGGACTTTTCAAATTCCGTAATGAAGTGATTTATGGAAATTTTACGTTGTCCTCTCCATCAAACTCTCATAGGAAAAATGCAACGACTTCATTGGAATAGTGCAGTGACTGTCCCCTTCACAATCGTCAACGCCTCCGTGTGTGGACCTGCAGCTTGATGGAATGTCTTGGATGACTGCATTCTGTGGCGAAGACCTAATCAGCAATATTCCTTGTAAAATAGTGAAATGCTTCAGTGTGTGTCAGCAGAAAGGCGTAACCGGAGTAGGTGGTGCTGGGTGCCATTCCACACTTTGTAATTGGTTGCATACCTACTAGACGAACTCTGTGGAAAGGCATGCTTTAAAGCACAGAATGCATTTGGTGTAGATTCTGAGGCCCTGCCACCTGCCGGGTTGACAAGTCCATCCTTGATGCCACCGGTGATGAGTCCCCTGACGAATTAATGTTTTTGTCATAGAATGGACTGCGTGTGGACGGTCACATTCACAAATGGCAGGGTTCGGCAATGTCGTCGGTGAGGTAGTGAATTTGGAGGACGTGGGATGTGTGGAGGATGGTGGAGAGGAGAAAGGGGGAGTGGAGGAGCGTCACTGGTCACAGTCCCACTAATGGTTGAGATATTGATGTAACTCCGTGTTTATCCGATGAGAATTGTAGCAGATGTCGTCTCCTGCGTCGCAGGGGAGTATTTCATTGCGTGTACCGTGATGACAAGTATCCACCTTGCCTGAATCAGGCGCAAGTTGAAGTAAAAGTGTTGTGAGGTGGCACTTGACGCTTCCTCATCCTATTCTCGTGACTGAAGTGGGTGGGTGCGTCGATCTATCTGTCCATCTATGAATGTCGTCTGTCTCTCTCTCGTGCGGTGCATTCAATACCGGCGTTTGGATGAGGAAAGTGGTTGTAGTGATGGGAAGTTGTCCGCACGACAGGGCTCCGGTGTGTGCCATTCGGGCCTAGAAGATGTTCAAAATAGGAAGAGAGGTGTGTCCGTGAAGCACGCTTCTCGTACATGCTGCCTTGGGGTAGAAATGGAAGTATTGCACGCGTCAAACGTGTGATTACCTCACTGACTGACTACGAGGTGGGAGAGGGAAGCGCTCCCCTCAACGGGGCTTAGATCTGGCAACGCACGCGTCTGAAGTGGTGCTTGATGCCACTATACATCTATCCATTCGCCCAGCCACCGATCCATCTGCATGGCGCACTTTCACCCACAATGCTGCATGGAGGATTTTTTAATTCCACAGTGTCTTGTAACTCCTGATCCACTCACACATCCCTTCGAGTGGAAACAGATTTGACGTATTCCCGGTTCGCTGCTTGAGATTCTGCCTACTAACTAGATGTGGGCGGCGGAGCACTTGTCGGGAGATCGAAGGTACGTTATATATCTATAACGATGGAACTGGAATGGTGGAGACAGTACAAACACCCATCGCTGCAGACACCCCACCAAAAACCTTACTGACTGCACCTCCACTTTTAGGTGAAGTAATTCAATTGAGCACCTGATCCACTCATGTCCTCTCCAATGCGGTCAATCTGTCAGTAGTAAAGCGGGTGTCAGCCTGAACGCAGAAGTAGACGGTGCCAAAATGCACTCCTCTTTGACCACCGGATAGTCAAGAGTCCACGAAAATGGTTGTACAGATCGCTCTCGAATTCAAAATAGACAAAAATTAACACAGCAATGGATGACCGTACTAACATATCGATGAGCCTGAGGCTGGCAAAGCTGAAGAAGACATGGAACATTGTACAGTTGTGTGAGGAAAAGCATGGGATGAAGGAGTGGAGTGGGATGGATTCAGGGGGAATGTGGAGGCACAGCCCTACGCCCTTCAGGCTGTGTTGCAATTCACAGATGGGTGTTGATGCAGAAGCAGAGACAAAGAAAAGATTGTGGTTGTAGCGCTGAGGTCAGGATTATTAATACTAATAAAGGGTTACTAATTGCAACATGACAACCACCCTCACTTCATCATCCAAAGCACATCCACCTCCTCGTCTCCATATCACTTCTCTCTATCTCTCTCTCTCTCTCCCATCTCCCACAGGTTGAGGCGGTGAGGTGACAAGAGTTGACTAAAGTTCAGGTTTGATTTGACAAACATGACAGATGAGGGTTTCATCTACTGAAATAGGAGAAGTGACCCGCTCCACCACACAGACTTACGTTATGCCCACACTGCTACAACACAACTGCCATTGTCCCACATCTACTTACGCAAACTAAGTAGCAAGCTTGACAAGCTGTCACACCACCTGCATTGTCAATTGACATCACCACACAATGGCAATGCGTTCCCTCCACAATGATGGAAGAAAGCCAAGCAATCACGCATCACGTGGGAATAGAAGGCAACCCTAGTGAAGTTGGGTCTGGTTATTAGAGAGCCAGGTACCACGTGCAGCGACGTCTCAACTCCTATGATATGTAAAATTCCAACCTGTCAAAAGCAAAGGATGCGCCTCCATACTTAACCCTTTCGTTCAAAAGGCGGAAAACCGCAGGTGAAAGAGAACTACTGAAGCTACTGAACGAACAGAGTGGCGCAAAAGGCCCGGAACGAGTGTTCCAAATCAAGTACGCGGACATACCGATTCCCGAAAGATATGGCGAAAAACGCGTAGCGCAACAATGCCACGGAAGCCACGACAAATCGAATCCACCACCGCCGTCTGCACAGGTACCCCGTAGACGAATCCACCACAGCCAAGCACAAAAAGCGGTTGTTGTAGAAATCACGTCCACTATTTTACAAAGAGGAGCAACAAGGTCGCGCAAACTCCCCGGCTAACCTGAATACACCTAAAGGTACTTCCCACAATCCTCGTTACCTATCCAAGTGCATCGTTAAACTGCCAACAGCAACAACGCCACGACTTGCACCATTATGACAATGTGCGCAGTTCGGCCGTTTACGGAATTACAGTACCAAAAACGCCAGCTAGTCCTCCCTTAGAACAAGATATTCGGAATGTCATTAATCGTAAGTACACTGCTCAGAGATAGCCCACTCCGCCAGATTTCCAACCAAAAGCAGCACACAGACGACCCACGTACCCCCTCCGCAGCCCCAATGCAAAAGTCATTAACATTAACTGTAAGACCTATGCTGCGTAACACATGCTCAGTCCACCTGCTACTTACTAACACGACAGCAACCGCAACAACTACAAGGATAAACGTCTGTCACCAACAGCGAAGACGTGAGGCAGATAGAGCGGGCAGCCCTTACTATCCTCAAAAAGCGACAACAGTTACAACATTTTCACATTTTCCGTCTAAAAGGGACAAAAATTAAGAATTATCAGATGCCAATTTTCAACATGATGAAGTGAGTGCAGAGGCAATCACTTCAGATGAAGAAATTCTCACATCATTTACTAGAACTCACTGGTTTATGGAGGGCAACACATTCAGCTTGATTCTCCCAGTTCGAGAGTGGAACCCCAGGGGTAACATTATCCTGTAATCCTCACGACGCAGCCACGTAGCTCCAGTCACACGCTGCAACCAGCCCCACTCCTTGCAAAAAGTCCTAGAGTGAAATTATCACGATGCTCAATTGTTTAAACTTACTTTTTAGGCGAGAAGCGACCAGCAAAATCGACCACCCTGAACAAGAGAACGCCACTGGCCGCTAAGGAGAAAACCCACGAACCCATATAAAAGCGGTTCACTGCTTAACAGTATCCCGTAGAACACGTCTTCATCTAACCACACTGATCGTTTTGGGGGCAAGAAGGCAGAAAAGGAGTGGCAAGACCGAACCCATCCCCTTGAAAAAGCAAAAAATAACCCTGAGCCGCACACTACAAGCGCACATGTATTTCAAACAAAGCGCGCCTTAGAGGTAGGTTCAGACAAACACAACAGTTTTGCATGGTGCTTCTTAAAAAATTTGATAGCTAAACTTCAAGCCTGTGATTTCTTAGATTTATTTCTTAGCGCGGCCACAAATAAAAGCTAGCTGGTGTAAGATATGACTAATTGTTATTCGGGATGTACACGATTTTCGTGTGTTCCTCAAAGTCAGAGTAACATCAGATAGATTAGCAAATTTTTATGGCTTGTAAACAGGTGTTTTGTTTTTAACAGAATTATTAATAGGTGTGGTAGTCGTCAAGCACGTTAGGAAGCACGTCATCAAGTCAATCAATGACAACAGAAAATTTAGTTAGTTGCCATACTTATATTGTTTTAATGTTCATTTCAGGGAGGAGGGTGGATACGAATCGAACCTTGTGACAGGCCATTCGACGTCCTTCATGCCGAGGAGCGTTTGTGTGTTCGCGGCCCCCTAGACTCTGTACTAGTTTTCCCTGCTCACTTCCCCCAATAAATATATTGAAGTCAAACCAACCTGGGTGTTTTAAGAGTACGAGAAACGTTGAGGAGGAGACCTATGAGCCCCGTCCTACACCAGTGGCAGTGCCGGCAGACCTCCCCTATTTCCGGGATGACATGAAATTCGAAGACTGACTCAAAACTGCTAAATTCAATCTCCATTTTAATCCCCAGTGCCAAAAAATCCCCTAATTCTCTGCACCCTCCCCCATGATTTATTTTTGGCCGCAGTCGACGCCAACATCACCCACGACATCGACATTGACCAATGCTGCGATACACTAGCTCAACTCGTCACCGATCGTGAAGAGAAAACCGTTGCTAGAGACCTCTTCCTCCATTCCCAAGAAGCTGACTAGGACGACGAAGAATGTGCTAAGAACCTTCAACTTTTGGTGGAACGCGCTTTCAGTGGCTGTCCTCCAAACAAGGTCGCTAACTGGGTAACGGTCCAGTTCAGACATGGAGTCCAACCTTCCACTTCGGTTGAGAAGCTCTGTGACGCAAAGACCAACTCGTTCGGTCAATTAGTCAAGCTCGCAACCAAGAAGCGACAAGAACTCTAATCGACCCCGATCTTCCAGAAGCCTCAGAACTGATCAAAGTCAACATCCTCGCATCGTACCCCTCCCCCTGCACTACACTCCTAGTCTAGGTGAGTCTTCCTATTCCCTTTCCTATCGGCTTCTAAATGACTCCCATTCTTGTATGCGGGGCCCTGGTAACTTGGAGGACGTTCCTGCAGTTTTCTTCTCGACTCTAGTGCAGCTAGGTTAGTAGTGAACCTCCAAGCCTTCCCTACCCTTCGTAACAGAGTTAAGATCCTCTCCCCTTCTACAAATTTGCATTCAGTAGAAAGAAGGGAGATGCTAGTTAAAGGAGAGTCATCATCAAAAGTCTGCATGGGGGAGGAAACCTGGACAGTGAGATTCATTGTGTGTCCAGAACTTGCCGGGGTCGTGATACTTGGTGCCGATTTCCTACGCTACACCAAAGCCCTCCTAAATTTTGCAGAAAGAACCTTTTCCACTCATCGTGCCACCGGGGCTAACGCAGATACTTCGCTATCGAAAGATGACGCAGATGACATCTGCAACACCCTTTTTGAAAATGCAGTCACTCTCATGAACAACCTAGATGATCTTTGTGTGCAGCTGACCCACATTTCTGATGACGAGAGAAAAGAACTCCGTGAGCTCCTGCTTAAGTATGCGAGCATCTTCTCGTGTCAGGGTGTAAAATTGGGACGAATAAATATCGTCAAGCATTAAATTGATACCGGTGAAGCTAGGCCCATCTGGTAGCCACACAGACGTGTTCCACCTCCTTTGCTGGAGGAAGTAAACCGTCTGATTGAAGAGATGCTTCGAGATGAGGTTATAAAGCCACCCAAGTCAACATGGGTCCCTCCTATCGCGCCGGTAAAGAAGAATGACGGCAGTCTGCGACTACGCATCGACTACAGGAAGTTGAATGCTGTAACCAAGACGGATGCCTTCCCCCTCTCCCGCATAAATGACTCACTTGACTCCTTACATGGGTCGCAGTGGAATTTCACCCTTGATTTGAAGTCGGGATATTGGCAAGTGGAAGTAGCAGAAGCAGACAGAGAGGAGACTGCTTTCATATTGCCAAACGGACTTTATGAATTCCAAACGATGTCCTTCGGACGCTGTAACGCAGTGGCTACTATCCAACGACTAATGAAAATAACACTAATCGGCCTATTTCCAAAACCTTGCATGATCTATCTCGATGACATTCTCGTTTTTGGCGGAGATATTCAAGAGCATAATGCCAACCTGAAACTAGTGCTGGATCGTCTACGAGATGCAAGGTTAACCCTGGACCCGAAGAAGTGCCGTTTCCTGCAACGCTTGGTCACCTTCCCGGGACATACGGTCCAGTCGAATGCGATTGCAGTCACCGAAGACCGTGCAAAACAAGTGAGGACATGGCCTACACTAACCAACCATTCAGACGGAGCTCCGCACTTTCCTATGTCCGGCAGGTTATTACCGGCGTTTTGTTAAGGGTTTTACTAAGATCGCCAGCCCGCTACATAAATTAACCGAAAAGCAGAGGGAGAAGAATTTTAAATGGGAGAAAAAGCATGATGAGACGTTTAAAGAACTGAAGCGAATGCTCTGCTCTGCGCCGATCCTAGCATTGCTAAACTTCAAATCGAGCGCTCCACCGTTTGTACTGGATACGGATACGAGCGACGCAGCCGTGGGCGGTGTACTCTCACAAAAGGACAAAGAAGGAAAGAAGGGAACACGCCATTGCCTACGCAAGTACAAGGCTCAGTGAAAAAATGAGACACAATAGTGTTACGCTGCGTGAGCTGTTCGCTATTTACTCTGTGGTTCGACACTTCAGACATAACCTGATAGCGAGGAAGTTCTTTGTTAGAACCGACCATCAGGCACTCACCTGGTTAAAAACAATGAAGGAGATCGATCATTCAGTCGCACTCTGGTACGAAGAACTGCAACAGTATAATTTTACAGTTCAATGCAGAAAAGGAAGGAAGCATGGTAATGCGGATGCACTATCCCGCAGACCAACTCCAGCAGAAACAGCTGACGTTATGGTTCGCACCATATTATTAGGAGTTTTGGTTCATTCCCAAATTTTTGTGAGCTTCCAAAATTTCGGGATTCAATAACAAATGTGTAGCATGTCATTTTAAATGAAAATTTTTGTCTCCTGCATCGGAAGCATACTTAAATTTTGAAAGCTATCAAAAAGGCTTTGCTTGAAGCATTCATTTGCATCTAATTGGTCAGTGAAGGTATGAGCACGATTGTCATTGCTTTTTGGTCCTCGTGATCTATCAGTGGCTCGTGTTTCTTCCAAATGTTTTATTTTTAAGGTTGCGGCTGCGTCGTTGCTGTTTCTCATGTGCGTTTGTGAGTAGTTCTTTTGCCCATTCATTATAACTGTTTTGCCTTTCAGGTGGCTGTGGCTCTCAATTTGTTATCACTGGGGCCCTCGAGCTTGTTTCATCCTGTTATTGTGCTCACGTTGGTTCGTGACCCACAATGTCATATCCCACAGTTGGTGGTGCTTGGTAAGTTCGTTACTTTTATACACAAATAGTTGTGATATTTGTGCATTAGGTGCTTAAAATGCTGGAAACGGCGTGGTGGTTTACGTTGTAGTGGTATTAGTTTTTGCATAGGCGTAGTGTGGCTTTAAGTTTTAGGGATATGAATTTGCATGCTATTATGAGTCTGGTATGTCAACTCTTTGTCGAGCAGGGTTACGCATTTTGGAACATGGGGAAGATCTAATCAAAACCACCTAGTGATATTACCAATGTTTTACTCTTTGCGTGTAACTTCATAGCCCTAGATCGGGAATACTGGTTGTGAGAGGCAATCCCTATATTGTAATGTGGAAGTTAACAAATTGTGCAGTAACCGTGGGTGATTTGGAGTATACGTCATTCTCTCTTACCCTCCTGTTCTTCTCCTCGAAGGTCAACGACGCCTTGTGATTCACGAGGTTGGTGGGTAGACTGGTGTAATCTTCCCGCTTTTCACCTAGAAAGTCATACATTGTACATCCTCCTCGTTGTATTAGGTGTCGTCTTCATTGTTTTTCCCAGGGCTTGGGTTTTCTGAGGCCATTGAGATTGGGTTTCCTTTTAGCATGCGTATCGCTTTGTCTTGTCTAATCGGCCATGTTTCTTTACGAGGCCATATTTTGCCATGAATGATTGTGATTGGCTGTGCACGTATTTTGTTTTGTATACAGCAAGGGGCCTCTTGTCGGTGAGATGACCTTTTTCCTTGTTATGTATTAGGTTGGCAGCGTTTGTGGCCATCGGTTTATTGTATGGCATACGAAAAGCGTAGGTGTTCGTTGGGGAGGTTGGACAATAATGCTACGTCTTTTCTTAGTCGTGGTACTTACTCTAAGGTCCTGTGCATTCCTACTTTTCTATTTAGTACGAGTGGCCATTGATGCCCATTTCACGGCCCGTGGCCGTTTAAAATGTTGGAACGCCGACGGATGTATCGTATGCGGCCCTGTACTTTATGTCCACGGTACTGTCATGAATGAATCCCGTTCGTGGGATTGGGGGATCTTGCTAAGGAGCTTGATGAGTCTGTTTCAATTTTTTTCCGATTAGTTCTGCCTATACGCCACGTGATCACATGTTATAGTGCATTTATGAATCCAGTCTATCATTCTCTAAACGGAAGCGAACGCTATTTTCATTTTTAATCAAAGCGGGAGATTGGACTCCGTGTTTAAACTGAACCGTTACCCAATTGGCGACCTTGTTTGGGGGACAGCCACGGAAAGTGCGTTCTGCCAGAAGTTGAAGCTTCTTAGCGTACTCTTTGTCGTCCTCGTCAGCTCTTTGGAAACGCAGAATGAAGTCCCCGGCAAGGGTTTGCTCCTCACGAGCGATGACAAGTTGAGCCAATGTATCACAGCATTGGTCAATGTCGGTGTCGTGGGTGATGCCGGCTCCGACTACGGCCACAAATAAATCATGGGGAAGAGCGCGGAGAATAAGGGGTATTCTTTGGCACTAAGAATTGAGATGGAGATTGAATTTAGCAGTTTTGAGCCAGTCTTCGAAGTTCGTATCATTATCGAAAGGGGGGAGGTCTCTCGGCGCTGCCACCAGTGTAGGACGAGGCTCGTAGGTCTCCTCACTGTTAATGGTACGCTTACAGCCACCAGGTTAGTTTGATTTCGACATATTTCTTCGGGGAAGTGAATAGGGGAAGCTAGTACAGAGTTCAGAGGGGTGTAGACACGTAACCGCTCTTCGGTTTGCAGAACGTTGACTTTTCTGTCACGGGGTTCGATTCGTATCCCCGTCTCCTCTCTAGAAGGAACATTAAAACACCATAATTATTACATTGCTCTCGTTCACTTGCAGTTTTATACACTTTAAACGCGAATATTGGGCAGGGGAGGAGGAGGGTTTCTTTTACTCTCGACCGATGGTGAGGGTTTGCAGATTATGCGAGTTGTAAGGAAATTGGTGTTTGTTTCTTTCCCTACTCCTCCCCCATCTTTGGTGTTGATGGGCTTTTTTCAGCCACGTGGATGGCGTAAACTGAACGACCGTCGTTCGAAGGGTTTGTGATGAAATTGACAGGTATCACAGCGAGCTGCACTGCTTTGGAGATTGAGGAATGGTTGGGATGGAGTGGCACAATCCATACATCCACCAGTGTCTCCCATTTTAAATGCTCATCATTCTTTGGAGGTGATATGTGGGTTTCCTCGCACAGCGTGATCGGCTGCGTGTATGCTTCGTGTTGTTGAGTGTAGCCCTCTGATGGGGGCGTTTTTGCTTGTTCTGTATCGGAATGATCACCTTTTGATCATTTGGACGACAGGTTAATTGATCTGAAAAAAAAGGAGGTGATAGTTTCGATCACGACTGATCCCAATCCGTCATGGTAGAATAGGGCATTGTAGAGGAGCGTTGCCGGCTAGATTCGACGGATGCACGCGCGTGTTGATTGATAAGGAATGTCCATATCGAAAATGGTGTCTGAAGGAAGGGAATGAGGCTGGCGCTGAAATCAACGAGGAGGATATGTGGCTTACATGGCTTATGTGGTGGGAGGTTGGAATCGAGGATCTCGTGGTTCCAGTAACACCGTCTCTGCCCTCTGATGCAAGAAGGCCGCCGTGTTTCACGCATTGCTTGACTGTGCTGTGCTGTACTTCACCGATGTACATTGAATAAACAATGGTCCACTATGAGGCGTTCTCGATGTGGAGTTTGGACGAGGGTGGGCTGCTTTTGACTCGTTTTGCTTTACCGCAGTGTTGTGGGAGGCAATTGTGAGGTAGTGTGGTCTTACACAAGGTTGGGTGACGAGGAAGGGGTAAGTGCTTTGTGTATTTTGGTTGTGGAGTTACTGCTTTAATTGCCCATTCGGTGGGATCCTTTCACCTCCCTAACCTTGCACAGGTGTTGAGACCGATTGGCTGCTACAGTTGGTACCCACATCCAACTTCACTAGGGTTGCCTTCTATCCCCACGTGATGCGTGATTGCTTGGCTTTCTTCCATCATTGTGGAGGGAACGCATTGCCATTGTGTGGTGATGTCAATTGACAATGCAGGTGGTGTGACAGCTTGTCAAGCTTGCTACTTAGTTTGCGTAAGTAGATGTGGGACAATGGCAGTTGTGTTGTAGCAGTGTGGGCATAACGTAAGTCTGTGTGGTGGAGCGGGTCACTTCTCCTATTTCAGTAGATGAAACCCTCATCTGTCATGTTTGTCAAATCAAACCTGAACTTTAGTCAACTCTTGTCACCTCACCGCCTCAACCTGTGGGAGATGGGAGAGAGAGAGAGAGATAGAGAGAAGTGATACGGAGACGAGGAGGTGGATGTGCTTTGGATGATGAAGTGAGGGTGGTTGTCATGTTTGCTGATGCAACTCTCCAACCGTGTTTGAACCCCAAATCGAGCTGCATTTTGATCTACCTGAGTTGAGGTTGGGGGAGAGGAAAAATGGAATATGATGAAGTGGGAGGTGGTGGGGGAAGAGAATGGAATGAGATCGAATGGTTTTGACGTGGACCAACTCTGGGGTATGGATTGTAGTATCATAGGCATTTAGGGTGGAATCATTTAGTTGGCTGATTGGTTGGAAGGACGCAATGGCTGCCATTTGATAATCACCGTCTCATCTAGTGTGGATCGTGTGCCGTTACGCTGGAGGTGCTTTCGTCGAAGACGTTCGGACTTTGCCAACTTGTGCGTGAAAAATCCCTCCTGATGGGACTGTGCATCCATTCATCCATGCCGTATCCATCCGTTTGTTCGTCTGCCGCACGAAATTCCTTACCACTGGTCACAGACGCGCGGTAGGGAATTCGAGGCAGGAAGAGTTGGTTGAGCATGTGGCTGTCTGATTGGTGAGGTGGAGGCAGCGAGTAACTCGTAACGATTCGTGGCTTTCTGCGCTTTACCAACCCACCATGCATCCACATTCCACATTGGAAGAACACTTGACGTGTTTCCCTTTCCACACTTTTGATTCTGCTTCGGTGGTTATCTGTATCCACTGGACGCAGCGTCACCCACCTGATGAGACGGTCGCTTCATCGGTGTGTGATCGCACCAACCTTCTGCAGTGTTCCAACCCACTCATACCGAAACTTGTGACCGGAGAAGAAGACGAAGAAGCAAGTGAACTGGTGGAAATAGCGTAGATGTGGAGTGGAGAGTGCTATGGGGTAAGTTGGGGTGAGGATAAGGTGAGTTTGGAAGCTCTTCCTTCCCTTCCGCGTCCCGAGTCATTCAGGCTAAGCGGTATGTTTTGTGGACGAGTGCCGTGCGTCCGCCTGCACTCCTTCGGGCTCATAGCTTCCCTCCTCGGCAGCGTTGAGTTAGCGTTGCATCCGTTAGTGTACACTGCGTACACTGGGCTATTTTGATGATGTCTTTGCTTTTTATTTACATTATTCAGCTGCGGGTTCCAGCATCTTCCTCTCCTTCCTCCTTTTTTGAGTGAACTGACTCAGCACGGTAGCCGGCTGTCATTTTGCCGATCGTCTGTCTGCAACATCATCGCCTGTGCCTACTTCACTGCACGGCTACTGTGAGGAGTTTAATTGGAATTGGTCTTGCATAATTGGTTAGTTTTGTGTCCATAGTGTCTCCTGGCCCCATGTCAACCCTTTTATGCCCACTTTAATTAATTCCACGCAAATTATCTGTCATCTTATCTGTTGAAGTGGTTTTATGAAGACAGTAAGATGCATTGAAGGTGAGTGCGCTTTTTCAAAGGTGATCCTGTAGACCACTAAGCGGGAGATGGTTCGGGTAGCACTTGAGAGGAACTGCGAGTCCTACATCGTGCAGGGAAGCATCTCATGACTGCGTGTGCTAGGTGGCTGGGGAGATGTCGCAAATCTGCGCTTCAACGTTGAGGTATAACCACGGAGAGATGCGATTTAGCCGCATGTGCCTCGAAGTCATCTCTTCCTCCCTTCGTCTCCCATTCACCAGTCCAGTTGTCTCTCCATTTTTTATTCTACTTGAACGTGTGTTTGCGTCATTGTTTATTTCTTGGTTTCTCCTACCTACCTTCGATTTGCTAATCGTCGTTGGAGAAATTTGGTTTGGTATGGAGATAACGTACTGTGTTGAATAATGAAGGTTTTCATCCTCTTCGTAGATGCCTGGTACCGCCCTGTCCCTTAGACATTGTTTCTTCCAGTGCTAGAATCAGTTTACTTCCTTCTTCCGTTGTCTCTGTAGACCCCATCTTCATGTTCGGTTGACGGGATACTCCTGCGAAGGCACACTTTGCCATCCCGAACCGCGATTGGTCTTACATTCAAATAATCCTTTGGGAAAATGATCCGTATCACCTATGGAGGACCTCTGGAGGTCTATTCTTTGCGTTTGCAATTGTCAACGCTGGCACCTTCTCCACTACTATCATTAAATATGTGTCTCCCCGACTTTTTCACCTTTTGTCCTGGTCCTTGAACACCTCACGACGGCTGTGGTGGTGGATGGACCTTTGAGACCCCGTTAGAGAGCGTCGTCACAGCTACTTCATGGTGGGCGAGGATGGTGACACTGATCAGCCACCCTACTGGTGATTCGGACGTCTTCGAGGATGGCAACATCATAAATTCGTACCAACTTGAAGGTGGCTTGGGGGGGTGGGGAGAGAACTTCTTTTTCTTCTTGAAAAGCAGCCCGAAATAGAGATTTTCTGCTTTGACGTATTTCCTTTCCACGAATTCGGTCAGCAAGTGAAAAAGAAAAGGAATGAGTGGGGATTAGTGAGTGTTTCGCTCTTAGCCTAGCTTGGCATCACTGATGTCCTCGGCCTTGTAAAGTAAAGCGGAGATGTGCAACCAAATGTCACTTTCTCGTCTTCATGACATTTGCCATCAACGTCACCCATATGTGACGCGTTTTCCCCCCACCCCATCGTAGTGATTAATGGTTGGAATAAAATTTATGTGTCCTCAACCAGATTGGCTGAGTAATTTTAGGACCACAAAAGTGGGGCCTGTGTTTATGAGGACGGCAAAGCGTCTTCAGGTATGCGAATTGTCCACTTTTCGTGTGCGTCACCTCCAAGGGCTCGATAATTGTCACGTTTTAGCCAGACCCCGACAGGAAAACTGACCAATTTCCAAGAGCACTCGTCGGTACAAATTGGTGTCAGTATCTTTTAGTAGTGGATGTTGACGGGAGGTTTTGACACCTTCAACTTCGCGGGACGTCATTGCGGAGGCATTGCTGTAATTTTCGGCTCTTGGCAGGTAGAAGAGGGTGAAGATCACCCAATGGCGTAGCGACGCACATCGATGCCCTCCAATGCCTTGATATGAACGCCTGGAGGCTTTTTATGACCTCTTGAATCAACCCAACTTTTTGTCTGTCTACCTGACAGGCATTGAGGCATATTAAAGTTATGCATCTTTAGCTTTTAGACAAAAATTAAAATTTTATGCATAAATAAGTGGAAGATGGAATGGAAGGGAGAGGAGAAGGAGGCTATGAATGCCACGTGCATGCAGACACGTTTCAGCGTCTAGAAGATGCTTGTCTATTTCTCTCTCTCCACCTATCATCCAGTTCCCTACACGCATTTGTTGATGCTGTTTGCGACTGTTCAACTTTGGAAGATACACGTCTACCTCGAGGGGATGGAATGTGTATAGATACGCAGCTGAAGACGTGTTGCTGTCACTTCCACTGTTGACAACCTTCCCATCCATACGCTTGTTCCATGCATCACCAAACAGCACATCCTGATCCTTCTCCGCGTCATGTCAATCGTATAAGCTCAGTGAAATACCCTTGAACAATCAGTGGATCACTCCTGAAAATATTCACATCTGGTGAACCAAAAGAATTGCTGGGTTACTTTACCGGTTTTCTGGCGGCTTCTACCTTCCTGAGCATGCTGGAATGTCACCCTGTCTATTTTTCCCCGTCTGATTGGTCACTATCGATCACACATCAAGGTCATTCAAGGGATATAGCTGTACGGGGATGGGAGAACACCCCACTAGCTGTCTGGCTGGATGTCGAGTCCTTACATGCCGTTTCCTTCTTCGTTTATTCGCAAACAAGGACGTCTATGTCGAAGCCTTGGTCTATTGGTTCCTCGGGCCGGGAACTCGGTGGGATCCCAAGGCAACGCACCCACACCAGGTCGTTAGAGGGTGTGCGTAGTTCAGTACCGCTCCTTGCAGTGGCTAGTTGGAATCCTTGAGGGCGGGGGCTTGTGAATGTGATGCTTCGATGCGCCGCAGCCAATTAGCGCAGTACCCCCTCTATTGCGTTCTTCACCGCTTCCCCGATGGGTATGACTTAAGTTTGTCCGCCTCAGATGCTCCTCGTGTTCCAAAGCTGACCCGCACTAACATTAGCCTAGCAGACGATGGTGAATCACCTCGAGGATGAAGCTCTTTTCCTTTCTTTCATGCAACAAAGGAAACCCCTTGGAAGGGGCTTGTTTAGCGACCCTCTTGGAATGCCGAATGTCCTTTGTTTTGCGTCGTCCAGTAAGCGAACTGACGCACCATCGTCTGTGCTCAAATGATCCATGGAATATTACGTCCTTCAAAGACGCTCCTGCTTTATGGATGTGGGATGGTGAAATGCAAATGGCGTTGTTCACCTACTGGAAGGTAAAGAGTTAAGGTGGAGATTTGTCCCAAACAAATGGAAGGTCTCCCTGTTTCCTTTATCTCTTCCCGTGAGGGGGATGATGTCTCGTTGGGAAGGACAGGTAGATCCCAGTGGTACCTACTTCAGTGGAAACGAAATTCCCTGCAGTTATTTCATTTTTGTTAAAGGAACTGCCCGAACAAACTTATTGCCACCCCAGGGACGAAGACCCATTTCAGGTGATGAGGTAAGAGGTGGAAGGTAGGATCCATTTGTTGCTCCTCGAGGGGAGATTTCTGCAACGGGGCCAACTTTGTGGAGAGCTATTAACATCAGGAGTTGGTGGAACTATCATGGTGTGACCACTTCCTCAGCAAGGTTCAAGGACAACCCGATTTCTGCATTGCTGGTCGCGTCAGTGAACCCTTTGGGAAGACTTTCGAAGCACCCCCCGATCCCTCAAAGACGACTTATCAGTAGCGACATCTACGAAGGCTCACCATCGTTGGCTACCAGCACTTTTTGGTTCCGCTTCATGGTCCACCTTATCCATGAAAGAACTCCCAGCAACGGGCCCACTGACGCCTGACGGATGAATTCCCTCAGAACCCGTGAGCCGGAGGTATACTCGTCTTGACGGAGCACCACCCTAGTCCAGCCGACACAGGAGCGCTGAGGAAGGTGCTCAGAACTGTAATAAAGCCACGGCGCAGGATGATGGTTTTGAGATCACCTTTTTAAGTCTCCCAGAGATACCTACAACCTTAAGTTTTCCCTCTTAGGCTGAACCCTCGGATACTCTTGCTCACTTCTCGATTTCTACTCTCGTCGACGTCTCATCCTTGGCGATTTGTGACGTGGGGGTCCATTCTCTACGCGCCGATAACCGCCATCTGTGGAATTTCAGGCATCCCGCCAGAAGGCACATTCGCGCACGCAGTGCCTTCTTGTGGACTCACATTACCAATAGCAAAGACAGTATCCTGATGGTTAGGGAATACAATTATCCTTCAACTATTGCTTTATCGTTTTATCACCGCTATGTGGTGCAATCGCACATCACGGGTGGATCAGTAACGCACGTCACATATTTGTGACAGTAGGCTCGAGTAAGAAAACCCAACTGTAAAGGCGAAGTGCTACTGTCAGCAACCCGTTTCCATGACATCGGCATACCTGAACAACGGAAAAAAGGATACATGAGGTCACTAACTTGTTCCATTCATGGTTTTACATACTACTGAAAGCATAGATAGTAGGCACTCTGTTGTATTACAGACAGGGGATGAGGCAGAAGACCAAGTCACTAGTATGCACCGGGAAGCTGTAGGGAGGACTGGTGATGACAAATCGGTTGTTTGCTGAATGCGGTCCTAGCGGCAAGTTCATTCTATCCACGAGCTTTTTAGTCTCTGTCGGCGGTTTCGTGTCCAGGCGCTCCTCGAAGAGAATCCGCATTTTCACTGGTTCAGGGGGACTGCAAGCACTTGCGCGTCTAACTGACGAGCCTTGTCTTTGCAACGAGCAGCTACTTGTCCCCACACGTCGAAGTGTTGAACTTGAGGTGTTTAGACGAAAGAGACCCAAACAGAGGATCCCGTGTTCTTCCAAAGCTCGACAAAAGAGACTACCAAAAGTGATTCCTCCGGCATCGTTGCTATGATTCTCCAAAATGTGTGCCAGTCTTGGGTCGTTGAAACTTAATTGGGCAATAGTTGGACGTTTCGTGTTGTTGCGTCGTAAGGTTGCTAGGAACTCATTCACTTGAGCCTCTCCCGTATCAGTGATCTGTAAATTATCGTAGAAGTCACCGCCATATGCCGCCCACTGTTCCAGCACTGGTGTGGTTCCTCCAGTAACAAGATATCGAATCAACGTCATAGCATTCCTGTCGAAGTACGCAGTGGAGACGAGTGCATCCAACACCGAGCCGGTGAAAGCCAGACCTCTCGCGAACGGCATGGTCAAGAAGATGTCAATATCCGCGTTTCCAGTCTCGAAGTCATCAGGATCCAGGAAGTGGATATTCGAGTCCATGCAGAGAGAGGTGAGAAGAGGAATTTCCGCTCCACTAGACCTTGCTGCAATTTCCTCGCTTACTGACTGTCGAAGTGATGGAGGGATCTTCAGAGCGCGGATGTTCAGGGAGCAGAGAATAGCCTCCTTATCTAGTAGGTAAGGGTCATCCACCTGATTGTTTTCCGAAACACCGATAACTACACAGACAGAGCAGAGTTGAATACGCGCAGCCCAGAGATCGCGACGATTCAAAGGGGAACCGGGGAGGAAGTAGATATCCGGAAAGTTCTCCATCTCCCTCCACTCCTCGGCAATGTACTCATGCGAGGTGAGAAAGATTATGGGACGCAGTTCATGGGCTGGAATGTTGCTGGCGCGCAGAGGAAGGACGAAGGATCGAAGGCCAAGACGGGGAGCCTTTTCACCAACTAGGAGGCAGACGAGGATGTGGTTTCGAAGGTACTTGCTGGCTTCAACTTCGGAAATCTCACTCTCCACGTTGTGGTTGTTTGGAAGGATTGCGCAACTTAGATATCGCTTTGGACACCAGTAGTAGACGCCTAAATGATAGAATACAAGATTCGCATTCACATCTATCCACCCATCAATTTATACATCCATCTGTGGCCATTGTTTCAGCAGGCGACACTTTCAAATCATCATCAACGTGACCTTGTGTCATAGTCTAGACTATGGTTAACTGGGATTCCCCTTAGCCTAGCACCACTTACCAGTAATATCAATTTTATTTGCACCGTTTTCTCCCTTAATCGACTTTTCGACCACCTCTGATACTTCCAACGGTGACAGAGGTGTCGTAGCAGATTGTTGAAAGAGTTTGAAAGCCGACTGATTGAACGACGCAGGAGAGGTCGGCGCCATTCGGCTACTGGTCCGACTACTATCCCCGATTTCGGCCGAGATTCGGTCCCGCAAGTTCCGAATTCGCTCTCGAAAGCCCTGGGTCTTGCAGCCACATTTGCGAATTCGGTCAACAGTCGTGGCGTCATTGTGACATCGCAGGCAGTAGTTTGTGACACGACTGGCAATCTCCTGAAGACAGAAACAAAAAAATTGCAAGACTCCCCAGTTTCAGTTTTTATCCGCAGTGGTAATACCCAGGTTCCCACTCGTGTTCCTCACCTGTGAATCACAAATGAAGAATCCAATTGTTCCCTTATGAATAATTGAATGTGGAGTCGAGGGTGGGTTAATCACTAAGTAGGGGTAGTGTTCAGTGCTCCCATCTCCCTCCTCTTCAGCACTTTGTACCAAAATTGCAATCAACATCAACTCCAACCGCTGCATACACACCTTGGCTGCTTCTGCAAAGGTCATCCCATCAAATGCGGAGGAGAAATCCGCCGAGTAGAGCTCCATACTCACGCCATGAAGGTATTCTCTCAGCCAGGGAGCATTGGCTGCAGCCATAGCCTCTGCATTCGCTGCTGAGAGCGTGAGACCTCTCTCTAAACGATGAAGATTAATTAAACCCTGTGATCCACTTCCACCCTTTCGGTTGCGTCGAAGCGAGTTGTTGTAGAGCTTTCGAAAGTTCTCCGAAAAGCGCAAAGCCAGACTTGGCATCGCTGCGGCATGCAGCTTCTTCTCGGAGGTTTCAGTAACGTCCTGTTGATCTGCATTACCACCGTCCGCGGTGGGGGTCACAGCGAGAGTTGTGTTAGCGGCGGTTGCTATAGTGACGTCTTCGATGGCAATAGCAGCGCCAGCTATATCCTCCTGACCGTGGAGGGAGCGCATTGAGAAGAGGTTGGTGAGGAGGGTGGAGAATCCTGGTGCAAGGCAGCTTTGTGCCAAAAAACCGAGCTTGAGCTCGGAGAAACAGACGATCTCATCTCCCGCGTGCCAGTTCCACGTAGGGATATTTAAGAGATGGGACTGCGAATAGCAAAAGAAGTAAACAGAAGGAATTATTTCAAATTAATTTAATCCTGTCTTTGCCACTAAATTCACCTCCACTTAGAGGTGATCTTGTGTGACTCATGTTTTATCGATCTATTGATTATTTGCTTGCCTTTCGCTCTGTCAATTGGCGGAATATTACTCAACCACTCAGGTGACTAAACCAGGCACAAGAAATCGACCAATGAGCGGGTGATAGAGCGTTTATTGGCTTAGCCATCGGGCGTAAGAACTAATCAGCTTGCCGGCACGCGTGACTAACTCACCAGAATATCGATTGATGAGCTAGCAGTAATAACCGCAACTGCTAGTGCGCGGTCGGAGTGGAGGAAGAAAAAATGGAACAGAAAAGTTGTTTTTTTTTTATTGCACCAATTACTCTTGTGGGATTAATTAAAAGGTTATTGGCTTTCATATCATTTTTTGCCCTAACTGCCGAATTATTTGGAGGCCAAAGAACAGGAAGCTAAACGACGTAGATAAGCAAAACCTTTTTCGACATGACAACGTAATTTCAATTCATCTACCCCAGCAGATATGATTAAAACTGCCTAATTAATCTTACTATGAAGATTTCTTGATCTATTTTTGTACATGTAATGAAAAATGCTTTTGTGCTGACCTTTTTATAGCACTATTTTTGTATATAAAAGTGGTCACGCTTTTCATGAGATTGTAATGCTAGTAAAAAGGAGGAAATATCCCTTTGTTTAGGCAAACAAAGTAACGCTAAAATGATGTGTGCCGATGATGGGATACCTGAAAATAGACGTTGGTATGGGCACCCAAATAAGGTCACGTAATCAATCTATTCACCTAGCTGCGCACGTGGAACGATATCATCCTTCTCCAAACCGCATTGCTGCAATGGAAGACTGAAGCTAAAGAAGGAAATAAACCTTTGGAAATTCATTTTATTTTGTCTGTTGCAGAAAAGTGTCACCCTCTTCAAGTTTACTGGACCATGATGCATTGAGGCCAAAGGCGCTCAGACACCCACCTGACAACCGTATGGCCGTCATGTAGCAGAGTACCCAGGGCACATCCCTGCAGCCTTCTTAATTGTCATCCATATCCTTTCGTGAGTTCAAGAAAAATACCTTCTTTTATTCCTCATGGCCTTGATTGTGGCTGGCTGGATGTCCACAGTCCTATACCTCTGCCACACCACTTTTAGCTCTTTCAACCACCCACAGGCAGCCAAATTAGAGGGGAACTGTATCTGCATATTGAGTACGTTTGGGAAGGGAGGCGAGTACAAACACACCTGTCGACAATGCCCAATCTTGAAGAAAATGTCACTTTTTCCTCTTTAGTAAGAAATAGCGCTCGTTTTTATTTCATCATTACGATTTCGAGGGTGATGAGAGTAAGAATAATTGACCTTCCAGAGGGAAGTTGCAGAGCAATATTAATTATCTCCCTTGATTCCATTTTGACCGTTTAGTCCTTAAAGTGTTTCTGAAAAAAAAAACTTTTTAAACATTTCAACTTAATTTTTGCAATTAACTCTAACAAATGGGAATAGTCCATTTGGACTTGTCCCAAAAAGAAAATCCTCCTTGGCAGAACCTAAGAAGTGTAAATCACTCCAGCCATCTAGAAAAAAATCAACTGTTGAAGTTTTTTCGCTCATATCTAGTGACTTGGTACTATAATTAGATGGAACTTTGCCCAATGCAGTTGAACAAAGCGTTAGGGGATACCTGTGATCCGTATTTGTGGCTGTGGTCTCGTCTACACCATTCTGATTGGCCAAATTAAATGCCGATGTGCTTTGAGTGTGCCAGTATTTAGTGTAGGGCCAAGGTCGATCAAATGTCATAAATAATCTAGACTGAAAACTACTGTGTCGCCTGTATTCCCCATTATCAAGTCATGTATCGGGTCCGCAATATCAGCTAGCTCATACCAGTCGGCAAAGACGCCTGCATGGAAGCCTGCGTCGATTGATTACTCTGGTTGAAAACTCGACAGGACCCAAGTCCGCGCCAATTTGGAACACAGAAAAATGAAGTGGTTGTACACGTGGGAATATTAAAAGGATCAGAGAGACTTGTGCATCGAAGAGGGGTCATGTCTCAATCTAATTCTGTTAATGTTTTGAGAAGTGTTAATTTGGGTGATTTTGGCTAATGCTGGATGATGTGTATGTCCACCAGGTGTCGGTCTTGTTCATTTATCATTGCATCTATTATTTCAAATTCTCCTCCAAAGTAACGTTGAAAAAAGGCTTTCTTTCTACCAGCTTAAAAAAAGGATAAAATTTGGCAAAATGGGTAGATTTTGTTTACCAAATGAGAAGAGATGGACAAAAACTATTTCAATGCCAAAGCGTAATTATTTATAAAGAAGATTTCATCAAAAGCAGGCGCACATTCACTTTCATGACCAGAAAAAGTAAAAAAAGCGCATTTTAAACTCCTGCTTTTATTGAGTGATTTAAAACATGGCAACGCCCTAATTTTTCTCAAATGTCCTCACTAGATGAGCTTATTTTTTAGGGTTTTACCAGCGATTTGTATGGCAATGTGAAAAGTTATTTTTAGTTACTGGATAAAACCAAAGCAAAAAAATAATCACTGCTTGTAGATATGGTTGTGACCAATAGTCCGTGGCCTAAGTTGTCAAAATTAGCATAATGATTTCGACCTGCTTTTTTGACCTAATTTCGTCCGTAATCCATACAATGTGGATTGAAATACTGATTATTTTTTTCCCAAATCAGTCGCAGGAATCTCATACACCAAGTCAAGACGATACGTACTCGTCATCTCACCAAAAAGTCACAGATCTGCCACACATCGGTCTAATCTCACTCCTACACTGGAGATCTGTTGAAGGCTGCAGAGGAGACTTTTATTTCAGCAGACCAGGTGGCACTTATAGAGGCAAGGCTTCGAACCATTGAGAAAGGGAAAAGTTCGATAATGGTAAATTGGACTTTCATTTTTACAGGAGATCGGCCTCAGAGAGAGTTCAACTACCTCATCAAACACAATTTACTGAAAGTGTTTATCAAAAGCTGATGGCGAACATGTGTCGCAAATATGTGACGCGCTGGTTTAGGTGAGTTTATCGAGAGGTTATGTAGTATTATAACCACTCAAAAGGGGCCTGAGCAATGAAATACAGTGGAGGAGTGAGATTAGGAGGAGACTTGAAAGAATAGCTTTTTGCACCGGGGTAAGTGCTTCCATGATATACCATTGACACGTGAAACAAGCTCACTGTAGGACACTACTGGTACCTACAAAATAAGGTTAAATATCACAAAAACCATCCATGGCAAGGGCACTCATTGCACGGCTATCATTCCAGACCATTTCATTGGAATAATTCTGGAATGAACGACGCAGACGAGTTATCACAGAGGTTGTCCGGAATGATGCTCCAACCAAGGGGTACAACAAAACAAAAAACGGTCACTTTCTCACCTTGTTGCATTGTTGCAGTAATTGAACGATGACACGAACGTTGCTAGCGTAATTCTTCACGGCAACCACACGCATAATGTTGGCAGCATCCTCCTGGGCCGGATCTACTGCTCGACTGTTCGCTAAAATTAGACAGGCATCAGCGGTCGACATGTTCACTCGATCGAGGTCCACGTGACTCATCACGGTGCCCTAACAGAAATGAGGAAAAGAGGTAAGTTGGCCTTGTGACTTTTTCATTTAGAGACTGTGCTAGTGTAACCTTAATCCTAAGGAAATAGGATCATTGTTGAAGCGTTTGACACCGACTGGATTTGATGTAGGCGTCGCACCGCTTCCAATCATGATTGACTACACAAAAAGTCCTTTTTTCCATCACATTCTGCCAACGATATGTAACACCACGTCAAAGCATCTCCTTAACTATACAGGCTCTTTTGTCCCCGCCAACCTTGGGGTCATTGGCACAGTGACATGCTGTCAACGGGCAGCTCTAGTGCGCATTTACTGAGGAAACGGGTGTACACATCATGCGACAGCTAAGTGATGGAAGTGTCTACGTCAATCCCCCCCCAGCCCCGACGATTTGGACTCCACACCAGATATGGTTACCAACTCACCCGTCTTTTCGCTTCGTTCGTAGTGAAGCTGCTTACGCATGTGCATGGACCTTAGTAACAAAGTCTCTAGAGGCAAAGTAAGTATATTAGGCAGAAGAGCTTAAAAAACTGGCATATTTACTACCTTCAGCTGTCCCCTTTTGTCTTCTTGAACGGCTTAAAACACATGATAAATGCAAGCGATACTTTGAAATAAAAGGCGTAGATGTCAAGATACAAAGTGGATAAATACACCTTTTCTCCCGGGGCTAATTTAGTCTGGTAGAATTGCATTGATGTGGTGGTTAGCCGCAGACTGCACAACTTTCAAAAGTCGCCTACACAAAGCAAATAATCTCATAAATCTGGCCCGTAAAACATGACACAGTGTCCTTGTTTAGTCCTACCAGATGCCAAAGGTAGGGGGGGGGGGGGAGATATCAAAAAGACCGTGAAAAGGTTCGCAACCGCCTTGTACTGTGGCAACAAAAGCATGCCCCACCACTTGTGAAGTGTGTTTTGACAACAGCGCAAATGATCAAACAGCCTGGCGTCCCCACAACTTGAAGGTCATGGGCTGGATGAGCGGGCTCAACTTGGAGCAAAACCATCTCCTAAAAGTTTTTTCTCTTTAAAAAAGCAGACAATGAAGGTAATTCATCCACAGTTGATTATTTAGCAAATCCTTGCACCAATCCAATTTAGTCCATCCAGAAATCAACTTAAAGTTGCTCCCCTATTCCACACGAAAGTTGGCGATTTTTTTCCTCAAAGGGTTATGTTTAATCAAACTGGAAATTTTCCCTGGGTAGCCTTAAATGCCGCCGCATAAGTGGGTCCACTTGGCGCTGTCTGTATTCGCCTACCTACAAATGTTTTACGTGGGGGAGGGGGGAGGTGGGGACAGGGTGGACTCCCACGGATAAGTTCACTGTCCTCCATGACTGGCGGCCTATTTTTAGATCCCCCTGTCGCCCATCACGGACACTGCGGTCAAGTTGAACTACTTCCAGGCATTTGTTTGGTCTGGAAAAAGATGCCTAACAAATAAATTTTCCTCTATTTAGTCGCAAAATGGTTTTTTTGCCATGTAAGATAGTCGGCATTTCTCTCCTTTTTGTCTTTTAAATATTGAAAATTGATTGTCCACAAATTTTTGCTATCTAAAAATGATTTATGGAATACCCAATCCTCATGAATATTTAAGTGCTAAAATGGGAAATAAACCCCCAAATTATTTATCGTAAACATATTTTAGAGTAATTTTTGACAAATTAGGGGCGCATTTACTGGCCAATAGCTTGACAAGCAATTCTCCCTTCACTTAAAGGGCGTGGCTCCCAAGTGAGGATGTTCAACTACCAACATTTCGACTGCTCTTGCCTATTAAAAAGTTTAAAAAAGTCATTTAAAGGCATTTTACCCGTTAAGGGAGCCAATCGTGCAGTCTATCATTCTTCTGAGGTAGACAAGCGCTTGCTGCGAAGTGTTTTGCCACTGGGATCCAAGAGCCGCTGTCTACCACTCTTCCTCTCTCTCCCATCTAAAGTGCTGTACAGTCTTGGAAGAATCGGAATAGAACCTTTTTCCAATCGATTCAAAAGTCCTGTCTCTACCTCATGAAGAAGAAGAGGTTTTCCTTGCCCAACTTTAGTGCGTATCGGATCAAATAGACCGATCTCAAATGTATTTTCTGCTTGACTATCAAGAAGGGGAAGTATTTTACTTCATTCTTAATCCAGGGACTTGTCACCTACCTTGTCCTACCTGTCAACTGTCTTTTTGACAAGCAACAAATTCTTGGTTTTTTAAGATAAGAATTAGGGCTCCAGGCCTTTGTTGAGGCACCTCGCAATGCCATATGATGGGAAAAAAGGAGCCTCTAAATACTTAGATATTATTTCAACTGTCACGTTTATCCCCGTAGTCTAGGTTGACGAACAAAGTACGTTGCACAAAATAAAGGCGAGCCTTTGCGGCACAGCTCCTTAAGCCACAAAAATCTCTCGCTTTACGAGGGGGACAATTACCTCCTCATTTCCACCTGGAAAATATTAATCGTCCTTTTCACTTCAGACATTTGATTCTGCCGTCTCCCTCTAGCCTGTCGTTACCCGCAACGCCCCAAGGTCCAACTTTCTGATGCCTGTCATCATTAAGGACGACAATGACGGTGGTAGTAATGCCATTGTTGGCTAAGTTGTCGGCTCTGTTTATCTACGAGGACTTCCTGGTCGCCACTGGCCCTTCCCAACGCTGGCAACAAAACTCTCTCTGGGCCGCCATATCTCATGGCGTTTCTGGCAATGATTTGGATATTGCAGCAATGTTTGCTTCTTTGTGCACAAGTTGGAAGGGAAAAAACGGGAAATTTAGGGAAAATTAATCAGCACTGTTGATTCCGAAGTGAGGGATTTTTTATGGTCAGCGTTACCCATAGAATTTAATAAGTGTTGGGAAAAAATTGTTTTCGATCATCTAATTACAAATATCAGAAGATATGGTTAAAGAAAAAAGTTCTTTTGGAAAAAATGTATTGACAAAGGATGTCATTTTGGTGTTTTGTAGCAAGTAGTTCAGGTGGAATTCAGTAGTATATGTAGGTACTTCATTCAAAGTCCCTGTTAGACCTCAGTTAAAAGCACATTTGTCCCATTTTGGACGCTGATTTATGACTGTTCGTGATAGCTGTCGTTAAGCCTTTCCTTCAAACAGTGAAAGTCTCCCTTTTGAAAGGCTGCACAATTCTCTTTAGAACATTACAGACACTCATTTTCGATTTTGTGTCCCTTTTGGGACTAAATGCTAATTTATGAAAGACATGTAACCCCTTTTTGAACAGCAAAGTCACGTAGGACCCAGGGGAGACTGGAATTGAAGAAATTAATCCTGTCTGGACACATAATGTAACCACATTTGCCTACCATACTGGCGGCCATTTAGGTGAACTACCAGTTATTTGTCACGGGGAGGTGGAGGGAGAGCGGGAGAAAGGAGAGATTGAGATGGCTGAAAAAGGGTAATGCAAGTAACACCTTTGAGGGCATAATGGTGTAACCATTACGGGTAACTACAGGCGTGTGTGACCAAGGTAGGGATGGTGTTTCCCCTGTTGTGGATTAAACAATTTCAGGAAGAACTATATTTTGGTGTCCCGAATGCGGCGCGCTACGAATCTATTGCGGAATTGATTCACGAAAGTTGGAGGAAACATTTGAAGAAATTACAAGAGGCCATCTACGATCCCCATGTATGACACCCTTAAGCTCTATGGAGGTCTAACCGACTAACAGAAAAGCAGAAACTCGGACGCTTTGACTTCTTTTTTGTTTAACAGGACAAATGTAGCATCATTCAGATCAGAGTGACAAGCGCGGTTAGGTACGTACTGTCACAATTTAGAGGATGGACAGCATTTGCAGGACGCGGCTTGTGAATGCAGCCGTTCAGCCGTCTGAGGCTCACCACGCACTTCACACCACTGCAGTCATCGTTCCGTGCACGCATTGACAACGACTCCACAAGAGGGAGTCCCATCTTCACCCTGAGGTGCCAATGTTGCCAAAGTAAGCATTTTTGCTCACCCTACCCAGTAATGGATGGAACACCTTTGCCCCTCCTTTCCTCTACCTACCCTCTTTTGTCAGTTAGAGTGAGAGCTTAGTCATTACCTTCATGTCAGGGTAGCAGCACGCGTTAATAAATTACAAAGACACCCGACCTGACAGATTGTCGAGTAACAGTGGGACCCACTCGGGCACAGGTGATTAATGACCCCCCTCCCTACAAAAGTAATTGTCACGATTTCAGAAAAGCTTACAAAGGTAGGCAGGTTCTTTTTACTCCCACCTTCTGCCTAACATCGTGTAGGGTACAAGGAGGCATCAAAAACCCCGTATTGGATATTGTTTGGCCGGATGAATCATCCCTGGGTGGCCAGAGAAGAAGGTAAATATTTATGACAGGATATCCATTGCACTAAATAATTCACGTAAATTAGCCAAATGATGAAGATGCCATTGTAATCACTTGTAATTTCTACGGATGCATAAAAATGGACGAGCCTACCTATTGGCACAAAAACACTCGTCGTGTATTTGTGACACACTTTTCTTGGGTTTACCAAACCCGTGTGCCCATGTCAACTGGTCAAAACGACTCACTCGGTGTAGGACAGTCTCAGTTTGAGAATAGCTGCACCAGCTTTTTTTGCTTTTTCGGGCAGAAACAATTGCACTGATCAAAAGAATTGTTGTCATCAGTAATTATCCGAAATGCAAGGGTTTGCTACCTCTGGAGACCCCAGCTAAAGGAACGAGCATTCTGGAAGATCAGAGATCGTAAAACGTACTCGAGAAGCTTTGGTTTTACGAGACCTGACCACTTCAAACTACTCGAGGGTTCTCATCAACCGCGTTGAGCGGGTCTACGAGATGTGCCGCTCTATCACTTGTAACTGACTCCACAGCAAAGGCTACGAAGCTCAGGGAGGCAATAAGTTGGTGTGCTAAATTGGGGCAAAAAGAGATTAGAAATAATACTACTGATTTTCCACCACTTCTCGCATCTTCAACTTGTTGAGTTGACAATTGCGGAAATGCATGTAGCAGACCGTGGTAGGCGTTCCACACACGAATTACTGATAGACGTCCCATACGTCTTAAGCCAGTCCAGTCCTACGCAATGCTCAGACACACAAAAGTGGAAAAAATTGACGGTGATAAGCCTGTCTGCGGTGACTTTTTATCTCTTATCTTCAGTAGTTACTTTAATGCTTGAAACTCTGGTCTTGGATAGCCTGATCTGCCCATTAAGTACTGCAGTAGCTCTCCACTATTCACCTCTGACGCAGAAACAACAAACGCTGCTGTGTTAGGCAAGAAAGGGATCTCAAAACCCCACCTCTAGGTACTTCACTCGGGAGAAGTGTCGCCTCAGCAGACTCTGCAGCCGTAGATCCGGTTTTGATCGGTTCATAAAGACCACCTCCACATCGGTCCTACGTCTATCCGGGTGGAGAAAGTCGTCTAAGAAGTGTTTCACCGACTCTGTGGTCACATCACCACAGACCACAACATGTCGACGTCCCGGTCTGGAGGCGTAGGCACCGGAATACTTACTGGAGGCGAGGAACATCTCAACGATCTCAGGGATGCAAGAGGCGAAAGCAGCGAGAGCACACAGAATGAAGAAGCTGGTGAAGATACGACCCAACGCCGTTTGGGGCGTGATGTCACCGTAACCGACAGTTGACATGGTAACAATGGCAAAGTAGAGGCACTGGCCGTAGGTCAGACGAACTGAATTGTCGTAGGGTGGTGAGGTGAAGAAATCGCCAGTATTTTCCAACAGGAATATCATCCCAGCTCCTATAGAGTACCAAAGGGAATCAATATTGCAGACTTTCCCCCCGTATTTAAATGGTGCTAAGGGTTACTCCTACTTTTTGTGAAGGCCCAAAAAGTGTCATAATTTCAAGGTCATATGGTGCTGGTGTTTAATGACAACAGCGCATTGAAATGGTGCCAAAGCAGTGAATCATAGACACTCATCCGTCTCTCGGACCTTCGTGCTTTACGGTAAAAATAGGCTTCTGTGCATTCCTCTACCCGAATTTACATCTTCAAAAACAACACGGAGGGACGAGGGGATTATTTTAGGGGCAGTAGGAAGCAAAGTCGTTCTGACTGAACAAAAAAGCCGCTTTTCCTTAGGTATTTTTTTCAGACCTAAAGGCCACAGATGTAAGACATTTGCCGTGGATGATTGTTATGATTCCACAGCCAAATCACCAATCTATCACGTTCGCTGCCAACACCACAGTTATGCGACACATTTTTCTGCCGAGATGTGGCCATTGGTTGCGCCAAATGCATCCACCGCCAACTAAACGACGATGTTTTCACCCCCTCCTCCCTGTTTCCCAAATAACGTATTCCCTGTTAAAATGACTTTTTCACCCCCTAAATCAAAACATTCTGCAGGTATTTACAATTTGTCGAGTACGCAAGACCTGAGGTCCCCCTGCACTTCACTACCCCGAAGACACATGCACACACTTTATTCTTGATTGTGGAGAAGAGATCCCCTTCCCTGAGTTTGAAAACCCCTGTCACCTTGGATCTTCTAAATAGAGATGCTCCTAAATGACAGCAAGAATGATCCCCTTTCCCTCCTCCCAAGTATTTTACACCACAAACTGCCTGAATATGGAATGATCCTAGCCAGGCAATAAGTCAATTTCTTTCGTTCTGGTCCAATGTTCACATCCGCGAGACAAGACACCTGAGTTGCGATGGTGGATCATCCTCAGAGATATTTTGGCTGCGAGGGTGGTAGTGGAATCTCCTCAGACTGTGGGTTAGACTTGACGCCAAGATCGAAAACGGCATTTCGACTGATTCCGTTTCGCGACACACCATGGAACTAGAAGTTAACCATGGTATTCTACTGATGGATATATGGCTGGACATCTTCCAGACACCGCAGCCACAAGTGAACTTTGCTTCACAGAAGACTATGGAGGAAAAAAATCCAGCCTGGACCGTCTTGCGAAGGTGCAGAGTGGAATCGTTGGAAGGGGTGGGAATACTGAGGATGTCAACAGCTTCAGAAAATGTTCCTGTCTAGGGATTTTGGAGCTTTCCACCCTCATGGCTAATTCCTAAACATTCCAGAGTGTCATGATCTCATCCAGTAGTTGCTACGAGGTCAAGGTCAATAGAATGCTATAAACAAGCAACTTTGAACACATTTTGTCCTCATTGCTCTTCACTACCGCTTCAGATATCACGCAGTACCGCCTCGCCTGCTCGCACCTCTCAGTAGATAAAGGCAGCTGTATCGTGATCTTTGGCTACTGATTACCCTGGCTTGGAGATCGACGAAATCCAGGCTACTCAGCCTCAGAAACCGCTATCTCGTCTCACTTTAACATCCCCTCCCAATGCATCGAAGTTCAACACTCAAGTTCTTGATTCAAGGTGGCTTATAAAAGGTCTGCTAACTAATTTCCACATTTTACTTGCCAAAACTATCGCGCTCATATTTTTTGTCAAAATCAAATTCTCGAAAAGGCGCCACGCCTGGGCCCAACTAAAGCAACCATTCGTCAATGTCTTCCGCCTCCTACATTTGGAGAGGGTAAAAAACGGGGCGAAAGGAGCGCTTGCGAATTTGTTTTGTCCGCTTTGCCGTCTTGCCATTTGAGCCGATCTGGGAGGCCTCCTCCCCCCTTTATCTCTTTTGTAGACATTTCCGTCATGCATTGGCCTGTCGCGATAATCTCCGCAGTTCTGCAGCACTCTCCCTGGGTCCAAGTGGACGATAGAATTACGCCATAAATCTTCTGGAGGTTAACCTTTACCGTGAAGTTTTTTACTTCTCTGTCATTTGGAAGATTTTAAGACTGATGGGTTATAACTCAATTATGACTCGTCAGTCGACGAGTCAAAATCCAAAACTTTTTACGACAGATGGAGTCTTGTAGGTGGTCAGGTGTTATCGACTAAGTGGCGGCCTGGCATTGGACTGGAGCCTCTTCGATGCGTGTGCAGTCGGGAGACCTTTTAGTTCCCAACGCCTGGTCAGTTCTCAGATCGGATGGTTTTATCGACCGATGAGTGTGTACGAGCCGGCGGATGGCACGTGGCGACTGCCAAAGTCTGAGTCGTCCCACTTATGCCTGCCTATAGTGAACAATTGACCTTGACCTTCTAGCCATGATCAGCCAATCAGGAGGGACTATGAGGAAGCGCGACTCTTTGGAATGTTCAGGAAGTATACATGAAAAGGAGAAACTTCCAGAAGATTAGACAGGAACATGTTCCTGGAGTCAGATCTGTTAAGCCATCGCCGAGTTAAAAAAGCCTCTTTCTTTTCTACGCTGCCTTACAATTACCCCTTCATTTACCCTTCTCTCCGTTGGCTTTGCTTCACCCGAAGGCTGCTGAAGGGAACCAAGGCGCCATCATAGAGGTCATACACCTGCATGGTACGCAATGAAGTGGAGCCTTAAATTTATGTGTGACACAGCTTCTGCGTCGTCGATATCGGAGCTCTGCCAGTACAACTAGTCTCCCATCTTTTCTATACGCTTGTGCAAGGCGTATTCAAATCAAAACTGGGAGTTCGTTCCGGCCTACACTCGTCACTTTAAAGCTACTCCTCAGGTGAATGCAACGGCAGCGGCAGCAAGGTGCTGCATCAACAAACAGACAGGCCTACAAGTACTTGGAATCCTTGCTTTTGTTTTGATGATTTCCAAAAAGTTTCCGGTGCAAATCCTACAAATCCTGCAGGAATAACCCAAACCCTATAGGCTTAAAGAGGGGCGACTGATAAGCGGTCGGTGAGGGTAGAGTAAGACAACAAATGGGAGCTCACCAGCCAACCAAATCGCGAAGAAGAAGGAGGTGAGCTGGCAGAAACGCAATGCCGAGGCCGACTTGATGATATTCAAATTATGCAGCACCTCGGCCAAATTAAATAGCCGAAAGATGCGCATAAAACGCAGTCCCATCCACGATCTCTGTAGCGCAAACGCCAGGAGGCATGGTGGAACAGTACAGTAGTCCAGCAGGGAGAAGGGATCGACCCAAAACACCAGCTTATTGTCGGCTGCTGCCCATCGAATAATGAAATGGAGGAGGAAGAAGAGGTTGAAGAGGAAGTCGAGGAGACGATGAGTTCGACCCTTATGGCCACACTTCTCAATCTCATTGGGCCATTGGCTCGCCTCCGAGACGTAGATACCGAAGGAGGCAAGGGAGAGAAACATAGAGAGAGCAATGAAAGTACGACCGGTAAAGTACTGGTAGCTCAGAAGACGGATTGCTGATGCTCGGAGACAGTCACAAACAGTGGAGTAGCCTGTGAAGGTAAAGAAATGCTCGTTAAAATATTGAAGCTAATATGCGAGGTGAGTTCAAGTCAAATTGGGACTTCGATAAAATAAGATGTTGCCGTGACGATGTCGCTTGCAATCAGCCTCGATGGCTACTTCAAGAAACCTCAACGTGTGGAGCACACTCTTCTTTGAGGTGTGACTGATAAATACCCCCTCTCTCTCTCTCTGGAAGCAACCCCACATGAAGGTCTCCAAATGTTCACAATTAAACACGAAGGCGTCATCGGAGGTAGAATGCTCTGAGGTGGTTCAACCGTGCTGCTCGATCCTTCGGTGTCAGGTAAGGAGGTGAAGCTTCTACCCTTTAAATTTTATTCTCTCCTTTTCTTCCCCAAAGTTGGGAGTCCTTGTTTGGCTTGAACGAGCTTCGTAAATTACTTTTATGGAGAAAGCCCCACTTATCATCCAAACATTCTAAGTAGTCCATTGACAAAATAACGTTCCACTGTAAGTCCGTGTTTATTATCCCAAAAGTTGAAAAGTTGTGGTGGCAGCTGCTCGCCTTTTTAATATTTCAAAGTCATTGCAAAGGTTTGGTTTTCTTACCTCAGAGTAAACTTTCTCATGAGAGGAGGATTTTCGCTGGGAGAGGGTTTTGGAAAGTATGATTTTTGACTTCAAGTTAAACCGCAGTTCTTCGGACCTCCGTTCCAACAATGCAGAAGTTTCTCCTAGAGTCTGCAGAATGTGCAGCAACAGGGCACACCCCAGGAACATGGAAGTGGCATGTTTAGAAGATCCCTCTACTCCTGATGCTAAACAATTACGTGGCAACAGAGCCATGCCACTTTGAGAGGGAGAGCCGTGGAGGCTTAGCAAATGACCTCACATACCATTGCCCAACAGATGATGATATGCGTCAAAGAAGCATTGTGCACTTTGAATCGTTCTCTGAGTGACTAACCAGTGATAGGAAGTGGTTTTTTGCATTCCAACGTTCGTCAGACAAAAGAACATAGCATTAGTCACCCCTAAACGATCCACTAACTTCTGTGGTACCACCTCATAACCAGAAAGTTATTATCCCCTTCGAGTGTAGGCACGTGCGGGAGCATGTAGGCGGGTGGAATGCAGACACAATTGCCCACCCATAAATAATGCACAACCTGGAGGCCAGCCCACGGTTACGGCTTAAATGTCCCTCGCCGTGGTTACAACGCGAGGCGGGGGGAGAGAGGGAGGAGCAGACAGTCTCAGCATTAGACGATCACGTGGGAAGGGGACAGGTGGTCGGGTGATGAAACCCTGAGATGGGGGCATAAATGTTGCTTAGTTACTTGGACTGTTCGATAAGTTGTGTGAACATTTCACCCTTTGTGAGTGCATATTCACCCTCTTGATGGCATGGCGTCTATTTGGCACAATTTTACCTGGTCCTGCCTAACCACTCCTGCGATGGTCTATCCAGACTGACAGCGCCATCACCTCTTCATAGAGGAACCTGGCACTGTCAAAAAAGTGGGTGAGTCGGACCACCTCGCTCCTGGCGTAACTCCAAGGCAGTGGCGATAACAGGGCTTCTCGGTTAAAAATATCACTCTTTTACTACTCCAAATCAGAATTCAAAATTAATAGGCACCATAATTGAAATTTTTTACTTTTTTCGCAAAAAAATAACTGATTTTCACTGTCCTCTTTTTACCACAGCAAAGTTGAGGGCAATTTGCTCACTTCTCAATTAAGCCACCTCACCCAGAAGGCGGTTAATTTAAACAAATTCGCTCAAACACTGCAAAATTCATTGGATTGCTCAAATTTTAAGCTATCTACTTCTGTAGCATGGAACAATGATTATTAAATCCTTTTTATTATTTAATAAAAATTGAATGACCCACCTCCTTTACCACCTTCCTGACGCAAGCCCCCAAATAACTGAGTATGAAAGAGCGGGGCGATGCGCATTCGAGAGAAGAAAGTGACATGTAAAACACGCTGTTGTCAAGTCCATTCATCCTCGTTGTAAGGGCGTCGCTGCTGCGGTATCCAGGCCCTCTTGGAGAGAACAAATGGTTGGAACCGCCTACAAAGGTGACGACTAGTCATGTCGTCGCCTCTGCCACTTCTCCTGACGTCACGGCGAAGGCGCCATCAAACCTCAGTTGTCTCAAAATCTGATGCTACCTTAGTTGGCTTTGGTAGGATTTAGCACGACCTGTTTACAGCTGGTCTATCAAAGGCTATGTGGACACTTTTTCACGTCCCCCTCCATGCTGATTAAGTAACCACCGCTTGTGTCAATCCCGCAATCCTTCCGTAGAAGTGCCTTTGCGGAATGGTGCAGCCAAGCCACCAGGTCTTTGTAGTGCTGGCACCCTCCAGCTGTCAGGTAAGCATGGAAACTGGTATGTAAAAACTGTATCAGCGAGAAAGGAGGGAAGCGGAAAGGAAAAAGGGAATGCAATTTTCCCCTCCTTGAAATCCCTCCAGTCGATCTCTCATTCCCGACGCGGGCTTGTTTAGTTTTTTTGTCGGTGACCGATCCGCAGCATCCACTCCGTGGACCTAAGTAATTGCTTACCGTTCTTCTTGTTTTACTGAACTCCTTTCAATGCCAAACCGCTTAAATTTCCTTTACGAGCTGTGCTTTGGCTTGACAGTTGAGAAGTTATTTGACAATATTCTACACGTCAAACTTAATTGACTGTCTTTACCATTTAAAAAAAGTTTGGTTGTTTATCTAGCTTGTTTAAAATTCACCTTTTTAGGTAACAAGCATTTGTATTGGACCAGCTGCGAGACCACCTTTCCAGAGAGCAGCTCAAAAGCACCGCAAAAACGGCAGCCTCGCCACATTTTGGACTACTCGCTCGTGAAAACACAGTCTGGGCATTAAATCACGTCTTTCAATCTGTGGCACTACTAGAAGCGTTTAAGCATAACTGGAACTTCCGATTTCGCAGGCATAAAATGGGCTTGTGTAATGATGTCGTACTTCGTGCCGCAGTACGTGACCAATGGTGGACGGACAAAGTCGCTTGTCAAGGAAGGCGTAAAGTTTGCGGGCACTAGATTTGCCAAGGTACGCGGAACCTTTCAATTACGAGGCATTTAAATGTGTTAGTTCCCAACCTACATCTTCAGTACGTGAATGACATGCCGTGCGACTCCAAAAGAAGCAAATTTTCCTGTAGGAACACACACTCACCCTGCATAAATCGAACTGTGATCGTGCGATCCCGGTTACTGCACCGGTTGCTCCGTCGATCCCATTGGTCTAGCCCCGAGAGTTGCGAGGTGTTCGCTGGCACGTCGAGGAAGATGCTCGATCCAACACCACTGCCGCCTTTGGCGCCGGCATGCCAACCACAGTGGGCGAACCGAGCAATGCGTCGACGCTTTGAGAACCAGGCGATACTGCGCACAAGCACCCGATACGCCAGGATCCACAACAGACCGCCAAAGAAGGTAGCCACTATGGAGGCCACGTAGTAGGGCCAGTAGTGCTCACCCATACAGGTGCGGGCCAAAGCTCGATAGTCTGCAGTGGTCAAGCTGCCATTCATTGTGGTGACTTGTTTCTACAATGGAAAGAGAGAGATTCAACGCATTCCAGCCGTTACCTCCGATTGTCTGACCCCGCGCAACATCACGAACACATATGCGTTGCCAGGTCATGGTAACGGACTGCGAAAAATCGTTTAGTAAACGGGTGGTTGGGGCGCCTTCTTATTAGAAAATGACCTCGTTTTGGAGGAGGGGGGGGACAGGTTAATGTAAATGTCACTGGGGGACAGAAGGGAACATCCGATTTGAGGTGGGATCTACCCTCCCCCCCCCCCCCAAATTCAGTGCAGAGTCGTGGGGGTTGAAGGGGGTAAGAGATTGCCAAGGTAGCAGTGATGGAAGTCATTTTCTTTGTGGGAAACTTCTTTACACTTCTGCCTAAAAAGTAGGACGTCATTAACAGTGATGAGCTACAAATAACCCGTTTGCTGACATTTATGGGAAAGGGAGCTAGAAAAATTGACTTGGATTCCTCTGGAGGTTAACAACGGACGTTCTTTGAATCTCCATTAAATTTTAACTATTTCTTTTAAAAATTTTTTAAAAAATAATCAGTTTTGTTGATTTACAAGAAGAAATTGTATCGAAGCTTGGTGGAGTCGATAAAAAAGGGGAGAAAGCCTTCCCTGCAGTAGTTGTTGCCAGGTTGTACCGATGTGATGTTGGCAGTCACTGGTGAAGGGGAAAAGCTTGCTCTGAGGCTTAAAGTTGGTGTCAGGGAGGGGCGACCCTAACTACTCAGGGAAGGGAGGATGGGAGCGTGAAGAAAGCCCCCAGCCTCTATAACAAGGTGTCTGAGAGAAACAATGCAGGTGCGATGCGCTGGTGAGAAAAACTGGCCTCAAAGCGTATTAAAACATGGGTCAGCTTTGCAATGACATCACAAAGGTGCCATAAAGGCAGGTTGAGGCTATCCCTCCCCCACCCTCTTCCCTACTCTGTACGGACATCGGTCCCCTCCACATGTGACATGCAGGCCATCTTAAAAAAAAACAAACCCGACTTCTTTAGCCAATGAGAAACAGTAGGTCGACATAGAGAAGCCTTTTTACTGTCGACGACTTAACCACCTATTCGTCTCTCCCACCCCCCACGTGAGGAGAGCAGTGGGTCATTTCCCGCAGTGTCGAGCCCTCAATCCGTCCCCCCTCAACTTCACCAGCATGGCAAAAGCCCTTCAAAAGGAATTCCTTCAATCCTCGTCTCTTCGACCAATAGGCGCATTACGTGGGGCAAAAAGAAAAGGGAGAAAAAAAGTCCCAAATACCTCCTGTGTGCACTTTTAAGGTGAAAATTTAACGAATGTTAAAGGTCACTTTGATAATTCGCCTTTTGCAGGACTATTCCCTAATTACTGCCAGAGGCTTGTTTTTCTCCCACCTCGTCGTTATAACCGCCTGGCACGACGAGGTTGCCCGCTTCCTCGCCGTCGTCACCGCCGCGTGGTGGAGGCGGGAAGTTGGCTGCCCACTTAAGTGCTCCCTACTCATCCCCCAAGCCGTGCCTTTGCGTCACAGAAGTCGTCCTTTAAGCCCCGAATCGCAATCAACAGTTGGTGGAGAGGGCGAGTTGTCGCGCCATGGGAACCCCACTGTTGATGTAACAATTAAGTGGAGCTCAAGACCAAGATGAGGCATGATGCTAGCCTGCAATATCAACAATTTTATGGGCTGCTTGGTCCCTTTGATCCGCTTCCCTTTTCCCTTCTGATTAAGAAAGAAGTGAATGGAAGGAAAAAGGGAAAAAGAGAAATTAAGAATTATTTTTCATTAATTATTTCCACATATCTATTTGGTCTTCTCTGCAGGCATATGACAATAACACTACTGTCAGTGGCCTTACATTGGCAGTGGCTTCGGGGCTTAGAGAACCTCATCTGAAATGACACTAATACCTAATTCCTTCCCCTACCCTCTTCTCCTCTTCCTCACCTCCCCCTTCGATGGACCATTGACGTTATCCAGCACCTTTGGCTAGTTGGTCATGTGTCAGGTCTGTTGGAATGAGGATTGGTGCGCCAGGCTGTAGGCCCCTCCAGATTATTTTATTGCCCCTAACCCACCCTCCTCCACTCCTAGAACTGTTGCGTCGCCCTCCCCAAGTTTGTAAGCGCTAGAACAATGCGTCTTGGTTACTAAATAAGCGGAAACCGGGGTTCGGAAAAGGAAAGATGTTAAAAGGTGATGCACTTATGACCACATGGGTGGGGAGGAGAAATGTCCCAGACCAAATCACTTTCCACACCATGTGTGGTGCGTGGATCCAACCGAAAGCACTTCGTGATCCACAAACTTGGGTATGGTCGAACCAATCAGGAGTTGAGGCGAATGCGAACAGTAGATCCATGACTGTCATTTTTTTTCTCCCTTCCTTTCAAGGAAAGTTCCCTCCTTAAGATGGAGATAGAAGAGGGGGAACAGCACCCAGTCCCCCAGAAAACCTCCTCAATCGAAAAGGAGATGCTTGAATCCCACCAAAGGGTACTCGCGAAATTTAGCATGGCCACTAACCGCCTAAGCTCTTCTAATACTTCTGACCTCCTTTGCTCCGACGACTCCTCCACGCGCTTGAGAGGCTATTCAAACAAAAGAATGACGATTCATAAAAATAGGTATTTTGGCATTTAATGGGAGCGTTAACTAATTTTTTGAGAAGCGGTGCCACCACAAATGTTTTAACGGTGCCTTTTTTCAACAAGGATATCCTTTTCTCCCACCCTTTCCCCTTCCCTGCTCCAGGCTAATCCTGTCACTCAACACTCACAGGGACACCATTGCTTGTTTGATGCAAAAAGACCTGATTAATGTCACCAACTTCGAAAGGCTAGAATGAGTTTTCAGGTGTGCAACAAAAAGGTGCAAGAAGTTGTCACAAATAACCAAAAATTTTGTTGGACTTTAGAAATGTGTTTTCTTTCACTATACTACTGAATTCTACCTTCAGTAGATTGAACACTTTTTTATTAAGAGAATGTAAGAATTAACGGGGGGCTCTGGACTTTAAAACTTTGGGAGTTTGATTCTTTAAAAGGGCAAAAAAAATTCCTCTTTTGCTTTGAATCCTTAACGAAGAAGAAAATAGGCTGTCCTCGTTCCCATTCAAGCAACGTGAGTGACAATAGCATTCATGTCAATGGTATGTGACATTGGTAGTGATGTGTGAAGGCAGGGATTCGCCTCGGAGCACATTCAAAATGTTTCACAGACTGGGAAAACTTTTTAACCAAAAGATGCCCAATTAGATGGATTTTCAGGGGATCAGCTCTGTGGTGTATCGACGCTCCCGTTTGTGCTGCGCACTCGGTGCACCGGGTTACAGGTTTCTAGGGCCAAATTCTCCCACCCGAGTGTAGGTGCTACCTAACACCTACCAGCCTTACGTTCTCCCGTCGTTAAACAATGCACTGGGGTTGCTAAAATGGGCAGAAGTTCTTCAATGGCCGCATAAGTCATCATTTAAAAAAAAGCTGGGTTCTTTGTTCCTCCTTGCCTTACGCCGTTAATGTTTGCCAAATAGTTGGATGTTAGAACAATGAAACAGTTGGTCTGTGGTGGTGGTGGTGGTGGTGGTGGTGGTGGTGGTGGTGGTGGTG